GATCCTTTCGTGGATTTTACGTACGATCAACTCGACCCAGTTCGCTGCTGCGAAAAGACAAATATGGTGGCCGTCGTTACGAGCGTATCGAAGTGTACATAGTTTCGTTCGTCGTCGTCGCGCGCGCCATCTTATTACTACCCCGTGCGACGTGGTCGGCTCTATACGAAACTTCCGAACAGACAGAACAAAGTCCAAGTGCGCGGGCGGTAGGGGAAACGGTTTGTTTACGTCGGAATCGCAACAATGACACACCTAGTTATCCGCACGCGGAGAGATGATATTAATTTGTACCTGTATGAGAAAATAATCGGAAAGGCACGATACTCGAGGCGATCTCAATCAAAGGCACGTACAATCGATAGACTAGATGGTTGCAGCGGACAGAGTGTCTCTTCAGCGATGGAGCAAGCACACTGCGGTTTTGTCTCGCAATTTTTATTCAACATACACCGTGTGGCATAATCGAGCGGCATTAACGTGTGTACAGCGTGGATCAAATCCCAAGCACGTAAGCAATCATAGAAATGTTGTCCTTGATCGTGAACGAAGATTGGGACGAGTTTCGTTGAAGAAAAGAAATAAAGGAATATCGTGAACACTTTTTGATCGTAACTGTGCCAAAATGAGGTTCCCGGCTTCGTAGAATAAATAATACTACGTTGAACAAAAACATCGAACGCCGTTCCAAGTTCTCGTAACTGGACCGCGGATCTTTATGCATAATAACAAATTGTCTGCGTTGACTGCAAGCTACATTTATTTCTCTTTTAAATAAGCTGAACGAGCTCGACGTTAATACAACGGTATCTCTTTAATTTGTTTAAATGTTCTCACCGTTTCGAATCGCGTTTATTAATTTCTGCCGTAAACGCGTGAAATCCGCTCGTAACAAAAACATTTGTTCAATTATAGAAGACGGCGTAGTAGCTGGCGATAACGCGATATTTCTAGCAAGCGCGAATTTTAAACTTCTCGTTGAAAGATGCATAACCAAATATAAAATCACAATTTTCATTTTATTCAATTAAATTACCAGACGTTTAAATTATCATCCTTCGGTATATCATCGTTTCGGTATAATACATTAGAACTAGACGTTCCGTGAACATTCATCTCTCAACCGTGACTCACCACCGTTATTAAAACAAGATCGTTTCGAGCGAACGAGTAGAAAATATTTTAATAAAACATTATATAACCTGTTTCGAGCGAATGAACAGAAAATATTTGCTAAAATATTACAACAATATTGAGAAATGTCGAACGATATCCGATAAATATGATCGTAGAAACGATTATCATTATTTACAAGTATTAATTATCCTATGTGAACCGTGAACCCATTTCTTCCAACAAATCTAATAAACATCCGTGTCCGTTGAAACGCGATTCGAACCGAGTTCGCAAGACCGTAACGAGTTTAATGCCGATTAGAACGACACGACGGCGACGGTGGAAGTCGGTACAAATTAATGATCGCAATTTAATCTCCGAGGCATCGTTTCATACAAATTCTCTGTGATCGTCGTTCTTCGGTGCGTGCGATTTGATTCGTAACAACAACTGCGCGATTGGTTCGCATGGAAACGCTACGAAACGCCGTAGTATAGTAATGTCTCTCTAATTGACGCCCAGATTGCGCACAAAAATGGACAATTTGGGAAGAGGTGATACGATTATTCGAGCCATGCGGCTCGTTTTTATAGTTACCGATTGTCAACGATTATAAAAACGAACCGCGAGACTCGAATAATTCTCCTCTTAAAGCTCCTCTTAATAAGGCTCCCAATTAGGGCCCTCTTCCCAAATTGTCCATTTTTGTTTCGAGATGTTTTCGGTTTATTTTTATAGTTATAAATCGTCCACAATTATAAAAACGAGCCGCGAGGCTCGAATAATTCTCCTCTTAAAGCTCCTCTTAATAAGGCTCCCAATTAGGCTCCTCTTCCCAAATTGTCCATTTTTGTTTCGAGACGTCCTCGGTTTATTTTTATAGTTATAAATTGTCCACAATTATAAAAACGAGCCGCGAGGCTCGAATAATCGTATCTCCTCTTCACCAAATTATCCATTTTAGTGGACAATCCGAGCGTCAGTAAGAGAGACATTACTGTACAACGTTGTACAATACAATTCGAATCGATAGGATTTGCTACAGAGAGGCCGATGTGCGCTTCGATAATCTTAACGGTCGTTTTTTTAGCGACGGTGAACGAAAACGACCGGCGGCGGCGATCGAAGATCGTTTTTAAAACGTCACGGCTTATCGTTAACAACGTAATCTAATATGATCAACGATTTCTCCGGAAAGAAAGATAGAAAAATATACATATTATACGAGTCTCTTAAAACACCCACACGATAAAATATCTTATTTCTTTGGCGCTTCGGTCTCTTTCTTTCTTTCTTTCTTTGTTTCTTCTTTCTTTTCTTTCGTCCCGTCCTCTGCTTCGTTGCCATCGATAAATGTAATCTCGGTCCGCGAAAGCGACGCGAAACAACGGGCTCGAATCGAAGGAGAGCGAAACGCAAGAGAAACGCGGCGCGAAGGGAAACGCAAGCGTGGGGAGGGGAGGGGAGAGAACGCAAGAGAAACTTACGGATCGGCGCGTCGTGAACCGTCGGGCACGACGGATGAGAACGGCCGAAAAAGAAAATATCCACCGCGCGGTTCTTTTTTTTTTGTCTCCTCCTTTTCCATCTTTTCGCGTTCAATGTCGGAACGATCCACGCTATTGTCGTTTATCATTCTACGTGTCGCTATACGGTTAGCTTGGTCGAAGGATCGAGGGGAGTTGGCGATTAGAGAGTTCTTATCGGTATTAATTGGTTTAGTCGAATATTAAATGTCTCTCTCATCCGATGTGTGTGTGTGTGTTTGTGTGTGTGTATGTGTCAGCTCGCGGTGCGTCGCGTTAACGTAAACACGTGCGAGAAACGATCGGCGATCGCTGATGATGATTCTGTCGGATCGGTCTCTCTCTCTCTCTCTCTCTCTCTCTCTCTCTTTCTCTCTCGGATGGATCTCGCGTAATCGTGGCGCACAGTGGGCCGGATCGAAGATTTTAGTGACTTTTTGTCAAAAACCTAATTTTCTCATATCGATGTCCAGTCAATTTTTATTGCTTGTTAAATGTCCATTACCCTCGTAAGTGGAAATATTAATAAAAATGATCATAAATTGTAACAGATACGACAATTTAAAGTTGAACATTTTGAACGCTACATTTGACGCCAAAAAATATGCTACTTTTCCTCGCAATGTCCCGACGAATCTAATTTTTTCCTTTGCTTTCTTTTTTAACATTAGGAGGCAATATTTCTCGTTAGGAAACAGTAGCTTAAATTAAGGTTATCGTATCCTATATATGAAAAATATAATGTTTAATAAAATACAAAAAGTGTAAAAATTCTTTACATTCGACAAGGAATATCTTTTGATACCCAAGGAATCACGGTTTCGGACAAACAATATATTTTCAGGATACTTTCCTCTACATAATTCTGTAAAAGTTACATACCAAGACGAACCAGATTGCAAATTATTACGTTTTAAAGATACCAACGTTACGTTACTTTTGAAGATATCGAAGATAATCTCTCTGTGTTCCAGTCGGTATTACAGAACGCTTCTTCGTTTGTAAGTCGACAGATATTTAAAATTTTTAATTATTCCATATAACATGAAAGATATAAGTAAACGAAACAAACTTTGTAACATCATATTTAAACAATTTTTTTTTCATAAAAAATATCAATGAAAATTAATTAAAAATTATTGTTTAACAAATGCAAAAAGAATTTAATTATCTATAGCTGAAAATAACTATTTTTTAAATATTTTTGGTGAAAATTTCATTGCAATATCTTTGATGGTTCAAAAGTTATAACAGAATGTCACTGAATTTCTCAATCCAGCCCACTATGTGCCGGTCTGATCGCGAACTCGTCGAGGAAGAATTGCTCTGTACGCAAACGATGATCGGATTTCTACCGGTAAAAAGCGAGCATCTCGAAGAGAAACGAGAACAGAAAGATGGCGCTGGAATCGGTCCCTTTCATGACGCTTTCCGAAGTTGCTCGGTACGTGCGCACAGTTCTAACACAGATATATGTATATATATGTATATATGTGTATATACGTATATATATGTATCAGATAAGTACATATGCATCTGTGCCACATGCACGGCCATATATCAACGTAAATAACGCTGCCGTTCGAAAATACGAGAGGCTGGCTCCGACTGTTTCGCGAGAACGAGAAATATGTATAAACGATTTCGAACGAAACGCAAACGCTTAGGGTGACCGTCGTCTTCGTTACGCTTCATGGTGTCGCGTGGTTGCAAAATAATACTGTTCTCTTCTTACCGATCGCGAGGGCTGAATCCGTATTCTTCGCAAGCAGCGCGACGGTTCTACGTAGACTGCGGATTTTATGCGTTCGTACAACGTAAACGAGTACAGTAATGTCTCCCTTACTGACGCTCAGATTGTGCAGAAAAATGGACAATTTGGGAAGAGGAGATACGATTATTCGAGCCTTGCAACTCGTTTCCATAGTCGTTGACAATCGATAACCATAAAAAACGAGCCACAAGGCTATACCAAATACCAAGGCTATACCACAAGGTATCTCCTTTTCCAAAATTGTCCATTTCTGTGGATAATCTGAGCGTTAATTAGGGTGACATTATATTGTAGCTGAGATAGAAAACGGTGACGCTGTGTTGGAACAATCGAACGATTCGGCGGTTACATTATTTGTAATCGATTCAAATGATTACCCGAGAGCAGGAATAAATGTCTATGGATTTTCTGTGTGCCGCAATCGATGCGTTTCAGTTCGCATAAAAGATATATCCGCAGTCTAGTTATACGGGCGTGCACAGAGCTGTGCGCGTGTCGCATTATGTCGTTTAATTGGGTGTTTGATTCGCGTTTGTCATTTTTGTATCTACAGCTAAAGAGGGCAGTATGTACAAGGGTCAAAGGAATGTGTGTGTGTGTTTATCTTTTCTTCTGTAGCCGCTATAGAACAGGCCAGCAGTATAATCTATTCGATATAGATATCCTCTATCGGGAAAGCAGTCTCGATGAACTTCGTGTAGAACCGATGGAAAGCACGCCTACGAAGAGAACATTCCACCTTTAAATTCAATGTTATGCACGTCGTTGAGGGACTTTACAGAGATCTTCAATTATAAAAACGACGATGTTTCATATTATACAGGGTGTCCCAAAAATGTCTTGCGATCCGAAAATGAGGGGTTCCTGGAGTCATTTGAAGCAACTTTTTCCTTTGCGAAAATTTTCTCCAAAGCACCGTTAACGAGTTATTAACGAAAAACAGTGACCAATAAGAATCGAGTACGGCTGACGCGAGGCGGCCCAGCCAACCAGCGCATGAAGCCCAGTTCCGCTCATTGGCTCGGTTGCCTCGGTCGCCTCGTGCCAGCCGAGCTCGCCTCTCATTTGTCACTGTTTTTCGTTAATAACTCGTTAATCGTGCCTCGGGGAAAATTTTTGTAAAGGAAAAAGTTGCTCCAAGTGACCTGAGGAACCTGCCACTTTCGGATTGCGAGACATTTTCGAGACACCCTGTATATTTTTATCAAATAAATTGCTACGATCTCGACTAATTTTTGTGGTCACTGACTCGGCAGCCAGCATGTTCGTGCAATATTTTCTAAATATTAAATTTGGAAACTATATCTTCGAGACTAATAACAATACAGTAAATTAGGGCGAATAGAGAGATTAGTATGCATACCCGACGGCTTCGGCGACGGGTCTCGTGGATTCTTGGCCAATGAACACGTGGCAAGCGAACCTCTGCAGGGTAGGATGCTTCGTGATGAAGCCGAGGTAGCGATGATCGCGAGGGTGAAAGGCGCAAAAGGAAACGTTCTTCAGCGAGTAGAAATAATCGTGGCAGGGTCCCTGGCTTTTCTGTGAAAGTAGAACAGCGTAAAAACATGGTAAAAGCACCAACAAATCAATGACCATAATGCGCACAACGAAATTCAAACGTTTAAAACGTTTCGACGTTCGTTATAGCCGGTCTACTCCGGCAGCGTGTGTGATCAGTGATCAATTACTCAACCCCGAGGAGGATAATCAATAATCGCGGACAGTGTGCGTAATGCGTGATCATTAGCCAGTAATTTGTAATTGTAAAACGAATCATTATTCCACTCTTCGCTGCAGCCGATAGCTTCGGACGATAATGACAGCGTGCCGACTAATTTTGTCTGCTTGTAATTGAATATACATTTGTTCAGGCCAATCGTACTCCCGTTAAATATTTTTATTTCGATTTTGCCAGCGTATTGAATAATAATGTTTCTGCAATCGATCACCATAATTTCTCTGTGCACGTTTCCACATTCGTTATATAAATTACAAGACCTTTTACGCCAATAAATTGATCACTTGAGCTACACCTATTATTCATTAACTTGAATATATTATATTATTATATTATTATTATTATATTTTTTCTCAAAATATTGCATATAATATTGGGGTTATGTATCAATTATTACTACAAGCCAATGTACTGCGGACGTTCCGATTATTGCGTGTCAAGGTTCACGTGACCCATTTTCTTATAAATGTACACACACAGCTACAATTCCTAGGATCAAGATATTCTCACTGTAGCACTTCACAAATTAGGTATAGGTACTCTATGGTCAAGCGTGTTCGCACTGACTCATCGAGAACTGTATCGTACAGGTTATGGTACGCAGTTCGGCAAAGCACCGCACTGATGTACACACATAGTAAAAAAAACTCTGCGCGTGTATGTATACTGTGTTAGTGAATAATGTTTGAAATAAGCAAAGTTGGACAATTTTTTGGACGTTTTTATAGTTGTTGACAATCGACGACTATAAAAACGAATCGCGAGACTCGAATAATCGTGTCTTCTGTTCCAAAATTGTCCATTACTGTTTACATGTTGAGTGACAAATGGAGAGAATTTACTGCATTTCTAAATTATTTCTCCTCCTCGTTCTATATCCCTCTTCCCACAACAGATTAATATTTTTAATATTAAAAACATAGGACAGAATAAAATGACTCGTTCCTGATTCTTCTTTTACAATTGTTCAAATTATAAGAACGTATTTTGTCGGTAATGCAGACACAACTGTGAGCTTGACAAAGTATAAAATCATGCTTTTACTAAATAGATGAGGGTTCGAAATGAACGAAATAAAAAGTCAGAAAAATAAATAAATAAATAAAAAAGAAAACAAAAGAAATGTCTGATAAAAGAAGAAACGGAATGTATTTACGGCCTAATATAGCTGCCGTGCGATTCTAGTAGCTGCGAATCAGTCGACAGCGATCTACTATATCTGCATAAATATCCGCAGCCTGGTCGCGATTATCGATTATTTAATTTCTGTTACGTTGAACTCTCGAATTCACGGCGCGATCGACCATTGTGCGGTGGATAAGAAATAGGACGTTTACCCGTGGTTTACTTCTGTCGACCATCCGGAGACCCTGATCGGATACTTCCAAGATGCAGCTTTGCGAGACGGGCGACTCGTTCGAGTTGCCAACGATTCGTCGCACCGCTTGGCAAACGACGCCGGTACCTTTGTGCGCCAAGGTCTCCACGGAGCCCAGGTAACCCAGAAGGTATCGTTCCCTTTTCACTTTCGGCGCTGACGGGTCAAAGTCGCTGTAATCCATGTCGACCGCGTAAGCCGAGGGGAAGATTCCTTGACGACCTGTTCTGAGGTTCACACCTTCAAATCGAAACGCAACGATGGCGCCATTAACGGGACGGTTGTCTCATCGAATCAATTTGTATACTGGCTGTCCCATAATTATGCGAGCACCCGGAGTGGGGAGATTCTTGAGGTCATTTGAAGCAACTTTCTTCTTAGCGAAAGTGCGATCCGCGGCTTTGTTTACGAGTTATTGACGAAAAACAGTGACCAATGAGAGGCGAGCTCGCCCAGCGCTCACTAGGCTCGCCTAGCGCTCCCTATTGGATCGCCTAGGCTCGCCTAGGCGGCCGAGCCAATCAGCGGAACAGCGCTTCGACCGCTCGTTGGCTCAGCCGCCTCGCGTCGCCAGCTGAGCTCGCCTCTCATTGGCCAGTGTTTTTCGTTAATAACTCGTAAACGAAGCCACGGATTGCATTTTCGCTGAGGAAAAAGTTACTTGAAATAATCTCAGGAACCCCTCATTTCCCAGAAATACCATAATTTTGGAACACCTAGAGAACATTGGCCAGAGTTTCCGAATGTATTATTACTAGACTGCGGATTTTATGCATCTTTTGATAAAAGCGAGTAGATCAAATGAAAGATAGTAAAAACATTCAACAATTTCAGAATATTATCGTATCACTGCGAACTCTTCGAAACGATTAAAAAAAGACACTAACTAGACGTTGCATTTCGCAACGAACGACAATTTTGCATAAAAATCCGCAGTCTGATCAATCGCAAAGTAATCGGTACCGTAACAACAGGTTAGAACCGATCGGAACGAACCTTCACACCAAAGATCGTCGGCCTCCTTCTGAACGTAGATAGGATCGCCGATTTCGAGATCGATCTCGTCGTGATGTCTTGGCACAAATTTGTGCAGTCCTCGATGCGTTGCCTCGAGCAACTCCAGTTGAGTGAACGGAACGCCTCCGCTTCCTTCGAGAGAACGATCGGACGTTAGTTAACCGATTTAGCAAACATTCGGTTGAATGAACGTGTGCAATGAGACTTTTTGTGTCTAAAAAAATGTCTTGTAATACGGAAATGAGGGTTCCTGAAGTAACTTTTTCCTTAGCGAAAATGTTTTACGAGGGTTCGTTTACGAGTTCAGTGAGACGCGAGATCGCACAGCGCTAGGCGACCGAGCCAATCAGCGGAACTGGCCTTCGCGCGCTCGTTGGCTGGGCCGCGCCTCGTGCCAGCCGAGCTCGCCTCTCATTGGTCCAGAGTTTTTCGCTAATAACTCGTAAACAAAGCCACGGATTGAATTTTCGCTAAGGAAAAAGTTGCTTCAAATAACCTGAGGAACCTACCTTCCGGATTGCGAGACATTTTTGGGACATCCTGTGTATATAATAATATAATATAAATATGATATAAAAATATAATATAAATATAATATAAATATAATATAAAAATATAATATAAATATAATATAAATATAATATAGATATGATATAAATACAATATAAAAATATAATATAAATACAACCGAAAATTAAAGTTTAAGTCGATAGATCTGCTCTCTGGCAATTCATGGCATACCGGGCACGACCGGCGCGGCGGTGGACGCGTTGAACCGTGACAAATAATTAGAGGAAATTAAAAATGTCACCTGGCGTGCTACTAGGCGAAGCGGAGTCTGTGTTCTGCAGGGTGTTGCAGGGTATGGGCGAGACACTTTTCGGCCCGTTTTCCGGCGAATGAGCGGTGGAATGGCCGCTGTCGGTGGCCATCCGTTCGCTGTCCGGCGAGCTGTCCTCGTGACGGATCCTCGAATGACATTTTCGTAAGACTAAATGCGGTCTGCTTGACGTCGAGCCGTTCGCCGCGTTCAGCTCGTCCGCCAGCGACGACGACGACTGCATGGTCATCTGACCGATGGGCAGACCTGCGAATAGAGATCGTCGATCAAACGAACGGTCACGGGAAATCATGGATCCCCGTGGATCCTCGGGAATCGAACGAGGGGCATCGCCCCCCTTCCCGCACCTCTTCGCAAAATCACGAGGCGCTCGAAAGTCTGCAGGTCCCGCATGATTCGATTCTTGGCGACCGGTTGATCGGAACGACCGAGAGACACGCGCGGTCGACGCGACCAGATACGGATGGCGACCGTCGCCGGCAACCGTCGCGGGCACGAGTCGCGGACGCGCGAGACTCGGACAAGCGCCGCGACGCAAATAGACGTCATTATTGGATTTTCTTTCGTTGCGGTCGCAGATTCTGCGGTTGAATCCGCGATATATCGGATGAGAAATGCGCGCGGCACGGTCGATTCCTTGCTACGCGCCGTCTCGGCCGCTCAAGGTCACGCTATTCTAGAGGTAAACGGATCGGCGCCGGATCGGATTGTTCGCGCGGCCAGATCGCCAGCGCCGTCGGCGCGGCGCGGCGCGACTTTCCGGCCGCGAAAAGGATGCAGCGCGATTGTATTTTCACTTTCCGCTGGAGCGTTCGAATCGACGCTTGCTTGCGATATTTTGCTAAACAAACGAGTCGGATTACGCGGTTTACAGAGATACAGTCGGCGTATAAAGTACGCCCTTCAAAACGAAGTAATATTTTTTTGTTTATGATTGAACCGAGTGCTCTGAATTCTTGTTCATCCCTTTAATATTCGAAAAATAATAACGCATCAATACGTACTCTCTAAAACAGATAAATCACTTTGTAACAACTGTAACATTGAGGTTACAGTCAAGCACATCCTAATTGAATGTCCATTGCACAATTAAAAAAAAAGTAAAAATGCCCCATACCATCGAAAAATGTTCGGGCAACTATAAACAAACAGCGAAAGTTATGTCATACCTGGAAGAAACCAAATTGTTTATATTATGAAAATTGTTATTGAAATCAATTAACTTAAAGTCTAGATTCAGAGAATAATCATGACTATAATAATAAGTATAATAATAATAACTATAAACAAACAGCAAAAGTTATGTCATACCTACAAAAAACCAAATTGTTTATTATAAAAATTGTTATTGAAAATTAACTTAAAGAAGTCTAGATTCAGAGAATAATAATAACTATAAACAAACAGCAAAAGTTATGCCATATCTAGAAGAAACCAAATTGTTTATTAGAAAAATTGTTATTGAAATTAATCAACTTAAAAAAGCCTAGATCGAGAGAATAATGTAAAACTGTAATGCGAAACTATTACATATGTTACACCATGTGTAACCCTGCGGATGTTCTCGCACAAGTAGTCGTTAATTGTTGTTAAGCAGATACGACATTAAATAAATTAAATAACAAGATAAAATCCCGAAAAGAATTTAGATCGCTTGGCACAATTAGAAAAGAAATTATTCCGTTTTAGAAGATGAACGAATACTTTGTACACAGACTGTATACATACAGTGTATCCTAAAAATATCTCGCAATCCGGAAATAGGAGATTCTTGAGGTGATTCGAAGCAACTTTTTCCTTAGCGAAAATGCAATCCGCGGCTTCGTTTACGAGTTATTGACGAAAAACACTGACCAATAAGGGGCGAGCTCGGCGGCGCGAGGCGGCCCGACGGCGGCGAGCGCGCGAAGCCCACAGTTCCGCTGATTGGCCCGGCCGCCTAGCGCTGTGCGAGCTCGCGTCTCATTGGTCACTGTTTTTCGCGAATAACTCGTAAACGAAGCCTCGTAGAACATTTTCACTAAGGAAAAAACTGCTTAAAATCGCCTCAGGAATTGCCTCCCATTTCCGCATTGCGATACACTTATGGAACCTCTGTCTTCATCGGTAATAATTAGACTGCGAATTTCACCGATTTATAATAAAAACAGGCGGGCCAAATTTGAGACAATGAAAATACAAAAAGAATTTACAATTATACTATTAAAATTATATTGAAGGAGGAACAAAATTTTATTTGCCGCAATTCGCGAAGTTTTATTTTGCATAAATATTTGCCGCATTAATCTGTTGATAATCGACAATTAATTTTCTCAGTTGGAACTTTCCCGCGAATTTTCCCACGGATTCGCCATGGCGGATGACGCCGAAGCGGTCGCGAAGCAGAACTGTCTTACATTTTTTGTTCTTCGGGATTTCAGGTAACCTCCGGCGTCGACGTTCGGTGCCGCCGCTTCCCGGTCGATTAGACGGCACGTGTTCCGGCGTCGGCCAAGAGCTCAAACTCGAACAAGAGTCGCCGACATCGCTGACGACGCTGTCTCTGCCGCCGGAAACGGAAGTGGCACCTCCGCCGGGACCTGGACCACCGACGCCTGCCGATCGACCCCTGCTGCTCAGTCCACCGAACAAGCTAATGTCACCCAAGGGTAGTCGTGTAGTGAGCTAAGCTACCTTTCACCATGCCGTTCGAGGTGTATTCTTATCGGGATCTCGGGGAAAGTGATATCATTGAAAACAGGCCACATACAACATCTGTTCGATTCAATGCGCGCCAGTCATCGCTCATAATTGCTCCGCCGACGAGGATTATTACGCGATTCACCGTGGAACTCGGAAATATCGGAGTAAATATTCAGGTGTTGTCGACAGGGTACGCTGACTTTTTAGCGTCCGGACAGCCGAGGGTGTTGTTTCTGTTGAAAGCTTCCGGAACGGGTCGGATGGCGAGGTCAACGTAACGTTGTCCGAACCGATTATCGAACAGGGTTTAGGATTTCAGACGTTTATGGTATACGTGAAACCGATAAAATGGTAACTTCGATAATTATGAGGGAAAAATCGATTTCTGTTTAACTCGATTTTATACGCGATTTTTCTAAAAATTTACTTTTGTAAATTTGAGAGCCTAAAAATATGCGGGGTAGGTATTAATACCTTTCTAAAAATTTGCTTTTATAGATTTGAGAGCCTAAAAATATATATGCGGGGCAGGTATTAATATCCTTCTAAAAATTTGCTTTTATAGATTTGAAAGCCTAAAAATATGTGGGGTAGGTATTAATACCTTTCTAAAAATTTGCTTTTATAGATTTGAGAGCCTAAAAATATATATGCGGGGCAAGTATTAATATCCTTCTAAAAATTTGCTTTTATAGATTTGAGAGCCTAAAAATATATATGCGGGGCAGGTATTAATATCCTTCTAAAAATTTGCTTTTATAGATTTGAAAGCCTAAAAATATGTGGGGTAGGTATTAATACCTTTCTAAAAATTTGCTTTTATAGATTTGAGAGCCTAAAAATATATATGCGGGGCAAGTATTAATATCCTTCTAAAAATTTGCTTTTATAGATTTGAGAGCCTAAAAATATATATGCGGGGCAGGTATTAATATCCTTCTAAAAATTTGCTTTTATAGATTTGAGTGCCTAAAAATATGCGGAATAGGTATTAAATACCTTTTTGAAAAATTGCTTTCATAAATTTGAGAGCCTAAAAGTATGTGAGACAAGTATTAATACCTTTTTAAAAATTTGCTTTTATAAATTTAATATTCTAAAAATATGCGGTATAAGTATTAAATAGCTTTCTAAAATTTTGCTTTTGTAAATTTGAGATTCTGAAAATATGTGAGACAGGTATTCGTACATTTATAAAAATTTGCTTTCATAAATTTGAAATCCTAAAAATATGCAGGGCAGGTTGTCTTTCGAACCTCGGGTCGCGTCAGCAAATATGAGCGATACTTTTTACATTTCCCAAGATTTACGATTGCAACTTAATCGTGTCTGTCGTTATCGGAAATAAATCAACGAGAAAAAAGCGTACGTGCATTCTAAAACCATTCGGTGCACGTAATTGCGCGAGGAGAATATTAACACGCTATGCGCGGGAGAGGTATCAATACCTTTATTAAAAAATTTAATTCTGTTTAATTTCGTTATATATTTACAATATACACCCTCCGTAAAATCCTAAAAATTCTCGTCATATACTTGTTACCGAAATATTTTTACGTAATTAATTTTAATGTAATTTTATAATATATCCTTTTAATAATGTAATATATGTAATATATGTATAATATATAATAACATAATTTAATAATATTTTTTAAATATTGTCATTATATAATATGTAATAATATAATTTAATAATATACAATATAATAATTTAATAAGAATAATATAATTTTTAATAATATAATTATATAATGAATAATACTATAATTTTGTAATAATATAATTCTATAATATATAATAACATAATTTAATAATTTAGTAACAATAACATAATTTCACAAACATCAAGTATCTTCTGAATTTTAGAAAATAGAACTTCTTGAAAAAAACATTAATACCTCACCGACGCATATTGTTCTAATAAAAAAGGAAAAGTCGGATCTCGTTTTTTTTCAAATTTTTCGAAGTTGTAACTCCGCCTCGGCATCGATGCGAGTTCCAGCGAACGTCGCGGCCGGATAAATTTCTCCGACCGCTTGAAAACCCGGATCGCGTGAGAAAATGAGTCCGCGCGAACAAAAGATGTCTGTTGTTTAAAACGCGTGCAAAGAGAGCCGCGCGGCGAAGCGCACAGCCGCGCCGCGCCGTAAATCCAGGGAATGAGCGCATTAGAAATTGTCACAGCACGAATTGTGCTACTAATGGAAAAGAACCTGGGTGCGTTCTTGCCGGAACAAATGCAGTTACTCCGTCGCGTGCACCGTGCTAAATGGTGGCATTCTCGGCGGTGTGTGTCAACGTTTTAGGGACAGACCAAAGCTGGATCAAAGCTTTTCAGGGAATGGGGCGAACCATCATAGAATGGCGAAACTAGGCAAAGAACACGGCTGTTCAAACGAGGTTTCCCTAATTTATTGCCAACGGACTGTTTTTGTGGAAAATGAGGTTTCCCGAATGTAGACGTTTTTTTCCTATGCAATTAGAAAATGTCACTCGTGCTCCAGCATCGATCGATGTCAACTATTTTGGCATTGTGCACTTTGTTTTTCTTAAATCTTGCAATTTATGTAATTAAATAAATAATTATATATATAAAAATATAAATAAATAATGAATATGTATATGTAATTATATCAATAAGTAAATAATGAATATAAATGTGTAATTATATAAATAAGTAAATAATGAATATATATGTGTAATTATATAAATAAATAAATAATGAATACACATGTGTAATTATATAAATAAGTAAATAATGAATATATAATATGTGTAATTATATAAATAAGTAAATAATGAATATATATGTGTGACTATATAAATAATTAAATAATTAATATATACAATTATATAAATAAATAATTATTATATATATAATTATAAAAATAATTAAATAATTAAACATATAAAAAGAAATATAATTCCTTAATTCGCGAAAATATTAGATTTATAAAGCGGATTACAAAGATACTTTTTTTCTCGTTTTGATGGTCCGATGACTAGACTGCGGATCTTAATGCAAAATAAAGATTTGTCTCGTCAATTATATAAAATAGATGTATGATAAAATACACGTATGTATGATATAACATATGATGTGTGATAAAAATATATTTCTTCTTTCAATGACGTTAATGCAGCGGCAGTAATGCAACAGTATTTGCAGTATTACAGAATAACTGTATTTCGTGTCTTCACTGTTCTGTGTTCTTTTTTTGTTCAACCATTTTTGCTACATATGCATAAAATCCGCAGTCTATCGACGAGTGAACTTTTAATTGACGCGACGGTTTTCACATTATCCGACTGCAACGAGACAGATCGTTTATTACTCGACATTTACGCTAAAGTATACTCGAATAGGTCACCGGCTGCAAACATTTCTGTAATATTAATATCGGTGCGGACAACTGGCGAACGTAATTGCTTCGACAGCGAAATGTCACCGTGCGAGAGGGCAAGCACGCACCCAGAGGCTTTACATGGTAATGTCTCTTTGTAATTTCTCTGTCAACTGTATCAGTACCATTCAAAGGCTTTCTCCCTTTTGGTAATTAAATAAAATAATATAATAATTAAATGAAATTAAATATCATCGTTAAAAGACCACCGTATTTGTTTTTGTATTATTATTGTTTATTATTGCAACATTTTGTAAATTATTCAGTAGTAAATATTATATAAATAAATTACGATTGTTACTGAACTATGAACGTAAAAGTCAATTAAGAACGTACAACCATGTGCATTAATAATTATAGTAATAACGACTAAGCAAGTAAAACTATAAATAGAAATTATTATATATTTTTATTATTATTATTATTATTATTATCTTTTCTAATAACATTAAATAGTGAAAGTAAAAGTATACGAATTATCATAACAATTCGAAACGTGAAGTTTAATAATTAATCTACATAAATAACTTCGACTAAAAGATGACAAAATTTCGTACACTTTCCACCAAATAAAAATTAAATATTAAAATTATATATAAAAATATATATACTATGAAATAAATTAATATTAAAAATATAATATATAATAATAATAATAATATAATATATATAATAATATATATAATATAAAATATAATAATATTATATAAGTATATAATAATATAATAATAAATAAAACAACTCGACACTTACTATGTAAAACTTTCGTCTATCTCTGTCAACGAGTTAATGGCGGGAAATTCACTTTTGAATACTGGATACGTTGATACACATCGTTAAGAATGCTATGAAAAAATGTTATGCGATCTATTCTCAATACGTTTGCTAAAGGACGGTGGTCTCTTCTTTCTCTAGGGATTCGGGATGTTGCGGTAACGAAATACTACTAACATGTTGTAAGAAACGTAAGTGCAAACTTGCTTTGGTCACGATGCATTTCTAAAGTTGGTACAGTCAAAGTCGATATCCTTACATCGAGAAACATAAATAAGAACGTCATGGATGCGATCGTGACACTGGGTAGCTATAGAAAAAGGCACTATTTAACGGAACTGGATCTGGACATGTAAATTCATTCCATCTTGCATGCAAAAGTGAGAAGAAGATTTATCCGAGTATACAGGGTGTCCAAGCAATTTGAAGTAACTTTTTCCTCAGCGAAAATACACCTGGCAGGAGGTAATTCCCGATGCCATTTGAAGTAACTTTTTTCTTTGCGAAAATGCGATCCGCGGCTTCGTTCACAAGTTATTAACGAAAAACGCTGACCAATGAGAGATCGCGTGCGACTGACGCCCCGCCCTAGCGACCACTGCCGCTGCGTCAGACAGCCGACGCGACACGGCACTGGTCGCGAGGGCGGAGCGCCGGCCGCACTCGCTCTTCGATTGGTCAGTGTCTTTCGTGAATAACTCATAAACGAAGCCTCGTAGAACAATTTCGCTAAGGAAAAAGATACTTCAAATGATCTCAGGAATCACCACCTTCCAGGTGAAAATTAATATTACGGGATAATAATAATACGGGACACCCTCTATATCGCAAAGTGATATGAAGAATTTGCGGAAGTTCTTTTGAATTTTATAAAGAGTTGAATGCTATACAGAATGGTCCAGACAGTATTAAAATTGTAAAAAAAACAAGATTCTACGAGCACAGATTTTCGAAAAATCTCTGAAGATATTCCGATTCGTCTGCGAGAAATATTTCTCGACGCTCAAAGATTTTAATTTTTATTTCTTGACGATCATTTTGTTTGATTTTTAATAACAGTCGTTGTGCGAACTATGCGAAGATATGAGGTCTACTATATTTAGTCTACTCTACTTCTCCACGGTTCTTATATTAGTTCCATTGAATCAATAAAGTAGACGTTTTCGAATCGATAGGAAACTGAACCCTCCCTCTGCAGCCTTATTTTTGCCGACGTCGCGTCGTCTGCGTACTCTGGCTCCTTTATGCGATTTCTTTCGAAAGTTTTTCTATTCTACGACGTACTAAAGAATCGTCAATTGTAATTCCATGTAATTCCGATCATTTACTTTTATGATTACTGATACGATTATTTGAGCCTCGCAGCTCGTTTTTATAGTTACCGATCGTCGACAATCATAAAAACGAGCCGCAAGGTTCGAATAATCGTATCTGCTCTTCCCAAATTGTCCATTTTTGTGCACAATCCCAGCGTCAATTAGGGAGAATTTACTGTACGCCGTTTCTAATTCCAAGATTCCCTAAATGACTCGTTTCTGCTTCGTCCGATATAAATTGTTACAGCTTCTCGCGTGCCGTGTCTCCGAACAATTTTTCCGACGAAAATGAATTACACAGTAAAAAAGTAGAGATTTCAGGCTTTAAAATGAGTTTAGTTTCGTCGTTCCACGATTTTTGTTCACGAAGTTACAGTATTTTGAATATCGTCGATGTTTCGGAGGTTAGAAATTTTGTGCAAAGTCTGGAACGAGGTTTCCCATCCATGTGTCGCGAATTGTCGAAGGAATCGACGAACGGTCTCCGAAAGTAGACACTTCGGGCTTTAAAATGAGTCGAGTTCCATTGTTGTGCGATATTTTTGCACGAAGTTATAGCTGTTGGAGTATCAACAAATTTTTCAAAAATTTGAGACATCGACGAAAATAATGGACGGCTCATTTTTATAGTTACCGATCGTCGACAATTATAAAAACGAGCCGCAACTCTCGATTAATCGTATCTGCTCTTCCCAGATTGTCCATTTCTGTGCAGAATCTGAGTGTCAATTAGGGAGACATTACGTAAACGTGCGTCGTCCGGCGACGGAAGGGAAGCCGTCGTCGGAAGAGGCTCCACCGCGAAGAAGTAAATATTTTTAATAGCTTGTGCGGTATCGTATCTCCTTTTCCCAAATCGTCCATTTTTGTGGACAATCCGAGCGTCAATTAGAGAGACATTACCGTATTGGCATAAACGTTTCCTTCGGAAGGTAGACGTTCGTTTTACGATCATGGAACAACCACAGAAACGATAACGAGTACTCGAATGACCACCCTGTATAACTTGATCAACCGACTCCGCGATCTTCACGATCTTCGACTATCTATATAGATCTAACATAACACTCACAGACAAGAAAGACGAAATGCTGGCACACTTACGATGTTACCAACCTAAAGTCGCTATCAGCGACGATGGAGCAGTTCTGGTCGAGATCCTCGCTGTCGTCGCCGGAAGTGTGGCCGCTCTGCGTGTCGTGCCGATGTATCACCACGACGTCCTCGTCCTCGGAATCGGGCCCGACCTCATCGCAAGCCCTGCCGACCTCTGTATCGCTGTACTGCGACGAGGTCGGCGAGTCGTCTATCATCACATCGTGGACGAGCCTGTGTCGAACAGGAATCGAGATCGTTAGTTCGGGTGAGCCGGAGACTTCGGCTGGTATCGGCTAGAATCGGTCAGAGAATTCGATCAAATTCCCGTGTAAATTCTGCGCGATTTTACTGGCGGGTTTAAGACAATTCGAGAACGCGACGATCTTTCTGATATGTCACGCGACTGCGACAATGAGATTAGGGAAATTTGGTGACCATTGGCGTAGGAATCGTTGTGTCTGGCTTGGCACGAAAATGGTTCTGTAATAGATACGTGTAATTACATTGTAATTTGTTACATTGCGATTTGTTACGTTGTAATTTAGTACGTTGTAATTTAGTACGTTGTAATTTATTATATTGTAAATTTTTACATTGTAATTTAATCGAATGGCGATCTGAATTGCGAATCGAAATTGAAATGTAATTGAATTACTTTCGAATTGCAATGTAATTGAATTACTTTTGAGTTACAATGCAATTGAATTACTTTTGAATTACAACGTAATTGTAAATTACAGTGAATTACGAATTACAACGTAATTGTAAATTACAGTGAATTACAAATTACAACGTAATTGTAAATTACAGTGAATTACAAATTACAACGTAATTGTAAATTACAGTGAATTACAAATTACAACGTAATTGTAAATTACAGTGAATTACAAATTACAACATAATTGTAAATTACAACGAATTACAAATTACAATATAATTGTAAATTGCAGCGAATTACAAATTACAATGTAATTGTAAATTACAGTAAATTACAAATTACGATGTAATTGTAAATTACAACGAATTACAAATTACAATGTAACTGAATTATTTTTGCATTACAGTGTAATGGAATTACTTTTGAATTACAATGTAATTGTAAATTACAATGAATTAGAAATTACAATCTAATTGAACTATTTTGTAATTATAATCCCTTGAGTATGTAATTCAATTGTAATTCCGCAGAACTCTGATACTCGTACTTTACTATTTTACTCGTATCATTTTTTTTATTTATACTAAATAAATAATTTCAGAGTTCATTACGTTATCTAGAAACATCGATCTATGTATATCTGACAATAGCATGAATCTTCAAACAATAACACTTCTCAGGATATGCGATCAGATTGATGTAACGCGTTGCCGCCGCGGTACATCTTCTGTTGAAAGTATTATCCATTTAAAACGGCAAGTGGATCAAAGCTCAGCAGGCTGACACGTTTAGGACTCTCAAGAAACACTTCGCCACGAGCAAGGAACACTCGAACACTGTCGGCCAACAGGTAAAAAGACGACGACGTTGCCGGAATTATTTTTCGATCGAAATTGAAATTCCAAGCTATCGAGAAATAATTCCGATAAACTGTTTCGCAACAGGTGACAACAATCTCGCGAATATTGTGATCGAATTAGCTTTAATTCTCGGAAAGTAAGAATGAAGAGTCACAGAAGAATGTAATAGAAGTGATAGAAGTAACACGAAGTTATTACATTGTAAATTATTACATTTTAATTTATTACATTGCAATTTATTACATTGTAAATTATTATATTGTAATTTATTACATTGCAATTTAATACGTTGTAATTTATTACATTGCAATTTATTACATTGTAATTTATTACATTGTAAATTATTACATTTTAATTTATTACATTGCAATTTATTACATTGTAAATTATTACATTGTAATTTATTACGTTGTAAATTATTACATTGCAATTTATTACATTGCAATTTATTACATTGTAATTTATTACATTGTAAATTATTACATTTTAATTTATTACATTGCAATTTATTACATTGTAAATTATTACATTGTAATTTATTACGTTGTAAATTATTACATTGCAATTTATTACATTGCAATTTATTACATTGTAATTTATTACATTGTAATTTATTACATTGCAATTTAATACGTTGTAATTTATTACATTGTAATTTATTACATTGTAATTTAATTAAATGTCGATCTGAATTGCGAATCACAATGTAATTGAAATGCTTTTGAATTACAATGTAATTGAAATACTTTTGCATTGCAATGTAATTGAACTACTTTCGAATTACAACCGAACTGTAAATTACTTTTAAATTATAACGTAATTATAATGTAATTAAGTGCTCAAAACACAAAATAATCTCAAGAGAGAATAAAATTGCTCTAAACAGAAAAAAAAGGAAATCTGGGAAGTCAGCCTCAAAAAGTTCAAAGCAATTTAATTAAGAAAAAACGAATTTTGAAAACTGATCAAAATTTAGTGTCGCCCTAACGCGCCCACGCGGCACTCGCCGCGTTAAATAACTCCAAAGAAATACAGTGATATTCGCGCGAGAACAGTGTTTTCTTATTTCCAGCGTACTTCGTCGAAGATAATTCAACGGTGTCGAAGGAACGAGGCCGCTCGATCGGATAATTAACGATGAAAGCGCAACGGGTTCGCTAATAGCGCGGACTGGATCCGTCTGGAAGAGATAAATAATCATGAATGACGGGCCGGTTAATGGGCCGGGTTTAATTTTGGGCATCGATCTTTCTTTTTTTATTCATTTTTGACGACGGGTCGTGTCCGGGCAGGGTGGAAAATAACGTAATCGATACGACACGGCTCGCTGCATTTTTAAACGCGGCCACTGAGAACAGAGCGGAATTTGAAGTTCGTGTGTCGGTCTTGATGGACAGTGCTCGCTACAGCGTGCTGGAAGGATTAAGCTATAATTATAATTAGACCGCGGGTTTTACGCGTTTATTACGGAAAAATATAATAATATACATTCCGTAATAAATATTACGGAAAAATTGAACCGGCGAAACTCAAAGCAATAGAAAGATTGAACAGATTTAGGGGCGCCGATGCGTTATTGCGAATCTATTAACCCTTTGCACTCGAGTGGTGACTCCCAGGCACCGGTTAAATTGTTATGTCACGTTTTAAGATCATTTTTATATTATCGAAGTTTAGTTTTTAAAAAATTATTAACCCTTAGCCCTCCGAAAGCTCCGCTACGGAGACATTTGTCATTTGTTTCGTAACTCCGAAGGCTCCGCTGCGGAACCAAATGTGTTTAGCATACGTTATCGTCGGCGCTAGCAATTACTGTAGTTAAAACGTGCTAAGTCTGTACCATTACGATTAAACCATTTTTCGAGCTTTTCTATGCTCAGCAACATGGAGAAAAATAGATATTACGATGAGAATTTAGAGCCGAGCGATACCGAAGACGTATTCGATTTTGAAGAGTTAAAAGACATTGTGGAAGACAATGTTGGTTATGATTCTGACGCTTCGAGTAGTAGCAGCGAAATTATACTACCAAAGAGACGAAGAATGAGAATTATTGAAAGCGAAAGCGAAGATTCGTTGCAAGACTTAGACGAATGGCGCGATGTTACGGAAGAATTACATATTCCAGATAGAATACCTTTTAGCGTATTGCCACAGGTCGTTGGACCACAAGTTCCTACAAACATTGAACAGCCGATACAATATTTTAAATTATTTTTCACGGACGAATCGGTAAATGAAATTATAAAGGAAATCAACGATTACGCAGAAAATGTTCTAAACTTGAAAGAAATATCTGATAACTCTATTTGGCAAAGTGAATACCGTGACACTTGTCCAAGTAAACCCAGAATGCACATGGGAGATTGTTACCAAAGATATCGCACCATTATGAATTACAAAATTTAAAATTTATCTTTTATTTACAATAGGAAAATGTATATTTATAAAATAAATAAAATATCGAATGCATTCGCAAGGACGTGTAATCTTTTACGCTCGAATTAAGACTTCCTTTATCTCGAGCGCTCCGCTCCAAAAAATGTGCCGGAGTTGCTGGTAGACAGTACTCGAGAAACGCGCGGAGCGCTAAGGGTTAAAAGTATAACTGTTGCATGAAACACGAGACGCAATTTCGTACGCATAAAATGCACTTTGTCGTATAAAATGAAAATACTTAAGTCGGAAGAATTATTTTAAATCGACTGTTAAAATGGCTTCGAGTGCAAAGCGTTAAAATAGTCTCGAGAGCAAAGAGTTAAAATTGTTACAGAAAGGAGGAACTTTCAATTTGCTGTCTATGTCTCGCGACTAGTACAAATTATTTTTATTATGCGCGAAGATCTAATTATAATGATCGACGCGTATGTAGTCGGTACTAAAGTAGAATCTTGTTATCTGAATCTATTAACCCTTTGCACTCGAGTGGTGACTCCGAGGCACCGATAAAATTGTTATGTCACGTTCTAAGATCATTTTTATATTATCGAAGCTTAGATTTTAGATAAAGTAGAATCTTATCATCTGAATCTATCAACCCTTTGCACGTTCTAAGATCATTTTTATATTATCGAAGCTTAGATTTTAAATATTATTAAAAGTATAACTGTTGCATGAATCGCGAGACGCAATTACGAAATGCTGTAAGTCGGAAGAATTATTTTAGATCGACTGTTAAAATGGCTTCGAGTGCAAATGGGTTAAAATAGTCTCGAGTGCAAAAGGTTAAAATTGTTACAGAAAGGAGGAACTTTCAATTTGCTGTTTATTTCTCGCAACTAGTGCAAATTATTTTTATTATGCGCGAAGATCTAATTATAATGATCGACGCGTATGTAGTCGGTACTAAAGTAGAATCTTATTATCTCGTTGCAAGGGGATCTTATTTTACGTTATCAACGTATAAGACGATCAACGATTCGCTGAACAATTTCAGAAAAATATTTCCAACAAAATACAAAATGCCTGTTTAAAATATCCTCGGCTTCTAAACGGTTTAACGGTTAAAAGGTTCGACGCGTTAACGTGGTTTAGGAGCAGAATTTAATCATTCGAGGAAAAGCTTTCATGGTTTATTCATCTAGAAAGCTAACGTTTATGTAATTAATCTTTCAACCCCCTTCCCCCCACCTACCCCAACGAGTCTGACTCATAATGGAGATTTCTAGTACGAACCTGTTAACACATTACCGTCCGTATGACTAATAATAGTGATTTTCTTGACCGCCTCCTGAAATGCCGTATCACTAAATATAGTCATTCTCTTGATTGAGAATATGAAATACCGGGGAACTAAAAATAGTCGAAACTTAATAAAAATGCTTTAACAGCTGAAACTTTCATTCTGACATTTTACGAGTTATATCCGTTCTTGTAAAGTGGTGCAACAACCCTAAAATGTGCCGGATACACGCGAAAGCTATCGCGCAAACAGCCATGATCGTATTTTGTTATGCGCGAATGTTATTCCGTGCTTTTAAGTCGAAATATGAAATTCTGCTGTTTTCTGCGCAATGTTTAATTATTCGAGGAAATGTGGGCACACAATAAACACAAATTCTTCTTTAAGAAATTATTAAAATCGAGAAATTTTTAGTTATGGTAACTGGGAAGAAAATGGCATGGAGTTGAAATAGTCGAATATTTAAGTCGAAATAAAATTTTGCTCTTTTCTCGACAATATTTAATTACATTATGTAATTAATAATTATGTAATTAATCAAGGAAATGTGGGCACACGATAAATACAGAAAGTGGCAAGGGGTTGAAATATTCGAATATTTAAATCGAAATAAAATTCTGCTCTTCCCTCCACAATATTCAATTATATTATATAACTAATAATTATATTATATAATAAGAATTATATAATATAATAATTATTAATTCTCTTCTAGGAAATTATTAAAATCGAAAAATTTCTAGTCGTGATAACTGGGAAGAAAATAGCAAGGGGTTAAAACATCCGAATATTTAACCCTCGATAAAATTCTGCTCTTTCCTTCGCAATATTCAATTATTCAAGAAAATATGCGTCCACAATAAACAACAATTCTCTTCTAAGAAATGATCACAATCAAGAAATGTTTAACCACCGTAACTGGGAACAAAATAGCAAGGGGTTAAAATATCCGTATACATAAAATCGAACCTGCGAAAAATCGTTTCTCTTACAACGAAACCAAGCTTCGCGATTCTCGCTGGCAAACGAAGTCTATCCTTGACACATCTCGATTCTCCTAACTTTATTTACGTCATCCGACTCCATCCGATCACGCAAAATTCTCCAGAAAATAAACTGTCGAGTGCTAAACACTGAATGCTCGTCCGAGCGATTTTCCCAGCCACCGAAATTTTCCCGAAACCAAAAATACTCCCAGCCGCCCCGAAAACCACCCAAAAAAAGAAATTCCTCGCGAACCGCATCTCTCCGCGTCAGATTTCTTTCGCAGACGAGGGAACAGCATCGACCGCGCCTCCGCGGTGCATCTTCCCCGCCGCGACCATGGCTAACAACCCCCCTGATCTCCTTCGGAAAGGCGCAACACGCCGAGCGAGAGCGATGCAACGCGAGAGAACGCGTATCCGTGCATTGTCGAACACATTCAAGACTCCGGAGAAACGAAAACCTTCGATCCTCTGCGTTCGCGTTCGCGCACGAACAAGTTTCATCCCTTGCGCGAGATCCTGCGGACACGCTCGCGTCTGCTATTTATATCGGATCGGTCTGAACACGATCTTCGACCGTGTCCCCGATAGTTCGAACAAACAATTCCCTTAGATTCCCACGATCGAGCCACGTCCGTCCGTCCGTCCGCATTTAGCGTCGCCGATAAATCGATCGGACGCGTCCGCATCCGAGATCCTGCGATTCGTCCGCGTCTCCAAGGACCGTGCGACTCGTCTTCGCGGCATCGGCTTGGGAAACCTTTAGCGGAGCACCACCGATCATTAAATATTTAACCTCGCCGCGACGGCGAAGCCAATCAGGCCGCGTTGCGGGCTGCGTCCGCGGCGGACACGTCAGAGTTACGCACAAAACGAAATAAAACGAAACGAAACGAAACGAGATCAAACGAAATGAAACGAAATCACCACCACCCCCGTTGCGATTTCAACGAAAGCACGAGCCACTTCGTGATCGAATCGAGGCGAATTTAACCCCGAGGCGTCTCTCTTCCAACGAAGCGGACCGACCGAGCCTCTAAGGGTCGCGCGAGGAGTCCGCTCGCGGCGAAGGACGCCGCTTCAGCGGCTTCGGAAATCGTCCTCGGGGATGATGAAAATTGTCGCGGAAACGTCCGGAGCCCGATCGCCGGGTGCAATCGTCGATCCAGCTGGTCGAGACAAGGTTGCCCGTCGACCTGTGCTCGTCGACGGCGACCGTCGTCGTCCCCGATACGTTTCTAGCCTCTCCGAAGGGACGGCGCCGAGGAGGGTGCTTCTCGCTAGTCCCGGTTACGTCGAGAGAGAAAGAGGGAGAAAAAGAGAGAGAGAGAGTGTGTGTTTCGTGGCTTTCGTCTACTCACGTGTAATTGGACAGGGGCGCTTTCAGGTGCTGGGGCAGCTTCTCGAAGTAGTGCCGGAACTCTTCGAACTCGGTGTCGGCCATTCCGGCGAGGGTGCGTACGGTGATAGGAAAAAGGGCCGTGGGGTCGAACGGTCGGTCCTGAAGGCGGCCGTGACGGCCTCGCGGAGAGCTGCTCGTCGACCCCCAGGAAAGCGACGGTGAGAGATGTCGCTGACGCTCGGGTACGACCTAACCCAGACGGCCGCCTCGACATCGCGACGCCCTATTGATTCCTGCGTGGTGAACGCGGCGCGGGCGCACACCACCCCCGCGCGCGCTCCGCGATCTTTCCTGCAAGCGCCGCCAGCGAAATCGAACAACCGGGGGACCGTGCTGCGGGGACGAGCCCGAACAACCCGAACCGGACCCGATCGCGACTGTACACCCCGTTACTTGCTCGGCCGCAATTTAATATTTCAATCGCGACCCGACGCCCCACGGCCACGCTGCATCCGCAGTTGCAGCCGATGCTGCATGAACGAAATATGGGCATACAGGCGACTGTATCGACGCGCGTCGGCTGCGAAGACGGGGCGAACAGCGCTGGTAAAGAGATCGTTGGATGATTTTTAAGGGTGATTGATGGACTAGATGCTGTAATTATTCTCGCGTGGAATAGATCTTGCTTTTCGTTAGATACGATTCGCCTCGTCATGCGATCATTTTGTTGCGTTTTTTTTCGCGAAACAAGTAGAATCATTCTCGCGAGAAAGTCGGAGATCGTTCGCAATTCGTACGGGTCCTACGGTTTTAGCGTCCAGCCTGACAGAAGTTAGCCTGTCTCTTATACACATCTAGATGTGTATAAGAGACAGATTCGTACGGGTCCTACGGTTTTAGCGTCCAGCCTGACAGAAGTTAGCGTTTAACTGGCCCGTTCTATGATTCCTTTGGGAGACGCGTTGGCTTTAGCTTTCTTATCGGTGACGATTCTCTTTTATCCAGGAAGAGAACGTTCGCGTGCGTTTTGCGTCGTTGTTCAATGCGACGATTCGATGTCGGTGAGGGAGGAATAGGATTCGATGTTTGTTCAAGAGAAACGATTAGTGTTCGAGTTCGAAGTTCGCGGCGGAAAGTAGATGAATATGGAATGCGGTAAGTTCTCCCGAATTTTCCTTCGGCTTGTAAACAGAAATGGACGATTTGGGAGAAGAGGATGCGATTATTCGCGGCACATTTTTATAGTTACCGATGGGCAATTGTAAATACGAGGTGCGAGGCTCGAATAATCGTGTCTCCTCTTCCCAAATTGTCCATTTTTGTTTACACAGCCGAAGGGAAATCGGGGAGAATTTACCGTGCCGTTTTGTTTCTCGCGAGTCTGTTGCAATATTGCAAACGTAAGAGATAAAAGTTCTTGCGGACGTTCGCTCTATTCGGTTATTGTCGGCTATAGAATATTAACGTGTGAAAGATTCTCGATGTCGAACTTGCAGTAGAAAGACGCAAACGGTACCGAGTACAGAACACTGACTTCTCTTACGATACTTTAACGGAAAATTTGCGTCGGCTTCTGTTGGACAATCTCGTCGATCTTTTTATCGGCTGAGAATTCGGGCGTGAAATTCCATCGAAAGAATGATTAAATGAAAGAGCAGTTGCTTCGAATATAATCGTAAACCCCGATATCAAACTAAGCAGCGTCGAACTAAGCTTTTGTACGAGCGTTATCGAACAACTCTGGAACATCGGCGTTGATCGGTGATTGATTTTTAGCGGTTTATACCTTTTGTTGAACATTATTCGCGTTGCATTTGATTTTCCGCGATGTGACGGACAGCTGTTGAATACAGTAAATTCTCCCCAATTCGCGCTCAGATCGCGCGCAAAAGTGGACAATTTGGGAAGAGGAAATGCGATTGTTCGAGCCTCGTGGCTCGTTTTTATAATCGTTGACAATCGGTGATTTTTTTAGCAATTAATTGCCTTAATTTTTAGCGGCAATTACCAAATGCCTCGTCAGCGAATTTTGTACGGACAGTCGCAGGACATAATCCAGGGAATTTGTTTCGGATGCGAAAATTGATCAGGGAAACGAACACGCGATAGGAATCTCTCAGAGGAATGTCTGTTCCACTATCGAACGGCGTATCCCGGCGGCAGATAAAATTTTTATGGAGCAGATACATTAGAAGAAAAACGTACCTACAAAACGAACACGCTTGTTACGTCGCGAACAGTCTAAATGACAATGATGATCGTATCGAATAACAAAAGTAAATAACAACATTTTTTAAATTCCGTTAAAATTATCAACAAAGTTTGTTACTGCATCGCATTGCGACTCAGTAACCTTCGAATTTAAAAAAGAACAAAACGAGGAATTTTTAAGGAAAACAAGTCCCCCTTCGATTTCAAGGTTCTTTCGCGTCAATAGATCATATCGTAGCATTTATTAATAGTCTGTGGATTCTATGCGTTTATAACAAAATCGAATAGTTGCAATTTGAAACAATGAAAAGTTCAAAAGAACTAAAAAATGTGAGTGCATTATTTTCAGTCAATTAAAATGGTTAAAGAAAGAATGGAATGTTAAAAAGAATTAAAAAATGTCAGTGTATTATTTTAAATCAATTGAAAGAATTAAAGAAAGAATGGAAAGTTTAAAGGATTAAAAAATGTCAGTGTATTATTTTCAATCAATTGAAATAATTAACGAAAGAATGGAAAGTTTAAAGGATTAAAAAATGTCAGTGTATTATTTTCAATCAATTAAAATAATTAAAGGAAGAATAGAAAGTTTAAAGGATTAAAAAATGTCAGTGTATTATTTTCAATCAATTAAAATAATTAAAGGAAGAATAGAAAGTTTAAAGGATTAAAAAATGTCAGTGTATTATTTTCAATCAATTAAAATAATTAAAGAAAAAATGGAAAGTTTAAAGGATTAAAAAATGTCAGTGTATTATTTTCAACCAATTAAAACGAATAAAGAAAGAATGGAAAGTTCAAAAGAATTTAAAAATGTCAATGTACTCTATTTTTAATCCATTAAAATGATAAACGGAAGAATAGAAAGTACGAAACAAATAAAAAATATCAGTGTATTATTTTGACTCAATTGAAACGATTAAAGAATCTGCATCTTTTTGCAAACGATGCAGCAAATTTCTATTTCGCGTAAAAGTCCGCAGTCTGTTGATCAATCGTTGATGGAATTGTGTTTCACGTGGCAAGCTGGGAACGTTGTTAAAGAGAATAGAGTGTTTAACAAGAGGCAGCGGATGTAGGCAACGAAGAGGGATTAATGTCGGTTAATCGAGTTACAGAAGTTGGCCGTATCAAAAGTTTCGGGATCCGCTGTTTGAAACGCGGCGCGATAAACAGTCTTGCGTTTCTTCCGGATTCAATTCGCGAACCCGACCGAAATTAACGCGCGAACGTATTCTACACCGACAAATATTTCGATCATTCTCAAATTGGAGTAAATTCTTCCTAATTGGCGCTCAGCTTGGAAACAAAAATGGACAACTTTTGTAGACAAGAGGAGGCCACGATTATTCCAGCGTTGCGGCTCGTTTTTATGCAGCGTGTCCTAAAATTATTGTACGCGAGCGTTCCTGAGGTGATTTGAAGCAACTTTTCCCTTAGCGAAAATGTTCTACGAGGCTTCGTTCACGAGTTATTAACGAAAAACAGTGACCAATCAGAGAACGAGTGCGGCCAATGCCGCGTCGCGTCGGCCGTCTGACGCAGCGGCAATGGTCGCGAGGGTGGGGCGTCAGCCGTACGCGATCTCTCATTGACCACTGTTTTTCGCTAATAACTCGTAAACGAAGCCTCGGATTGCATTTTCACTGAGGAAAAAGTTACTTCAAATCACTTCAGGAACGCTCGTACAATACTTTTGGGACACCCTGTAGTTGTCCACAATCGGTAACTATAAAAACAAGTCGCTTGAATAATCGTATCTCCTCTTCCCAAATTGTCTATTTTTGTACACAATCTCTCTATTACTGTATATTAATTTTTCAGAATAAATAAACTCCGCAGAAGAAACGTAGCTGAAACCATTGCACTGATTGCACTCGCAAATTTTTTTCGCATGCAATTAACAATCCAGCAAACCCAATGAACACTCGCAAAGTCTGCGAGCGTAATGCACGGCTGTTCGAGCGAAACAAAATGGATTGTAATATTCCGTGCGACATTTATGCAACATCGTCGGAAATATTCCGCGCTCGTTCGGCTCGGTATTTTCACAATCTTTTTTTTTCTCGATTACCTTCGATCTCGATTACATTCGACTCCTTTCTTTCAATCAAACCGTTTCATTCGTGCTGAGAGCGAACACCAAGAGGATCTCGCTGTCGGCAAACAACGAATACCCATCGTCTTGTTCTTACTTAGAGTCCCTTCGATATTTTCGCTAATCGATGGAATCGGTTTGAAGTAGACGATTTGTATCGATGGAACCGAGAACGAGATATAAATCATATTTCACATCGAAATTCTTTTAGAAAGCTTCGCGAAAGAGATCATTCGTATCTGTTTCAAAACGTGCTGGTCTAGGATAAATAAAATTAAACGGACTGATATCTAGTTCGAACGAACGATAATAATGTTCATTATTTATTCCCTTTCTTTTTAGAACAATTTTCATCTCTTTTGAGATTATTTTGCATTACATCGAATGTACGAAATGTTGTCGAGAATAACATGTTGTTGAGAAGTTACTTGTTTTTATATTATTTCAGACAGATAGTTTGCAGTTTTTTAGATAATGTTCACTTAATAATGTTAAAAGTGTAACCGGTAATAAATAATAAATGTGAACTAATTAACTGGTAGTAATAAATGTAAACAGTAATCAATAATGTTAATTTAATAATGTGAAAAGCGTAACCGTTGGTAGATAATAAATGTGAACGAATTATCTGGTAGTAATAAATGTAAACAGTAATAATGTTAATAATGCTAAAAGCATAACCGGTAATAAATAATAAACGTGAACTAATTATCTGATAGTAATAAATGTAAACAGTAACCAATAATGTTAATTTAATAATGCGAGAAGCGTAATCGTTAGTAAATAATAAATGTGAACTAATTAACCGGTAGTAATAAATGTAAACAGTAATAATGTTAATAATGTTGAAAGCATAACCTGTAATAAATAATAAACATGAGCTAATTACCTGGCAGCGATAAATTGTTTTCAGTAAATTGTTCTCAAATCGGCGAAGAATGAAGAATTAAACGGTTCGTTATTATTAATGACCGATCCTTAATATTTTTCTACGAGAATTCGCGCGCGCGAACCAACTCGTCGGTCGACTTAATGTCAATTAAACGTTGAAAAAAGCTCTCCGTACATTATCGCGTGTTTCAAAACGTGTACGTATCGTTTAATTGATTATCGAGATTCCATATTTTACTGCGTCAAGTCGCAACGGAGCCTTAAACATAACCTTAAACGCTCTTCTGTAGTCTTCCCTCGGCCTCCGAACTTCGTTCAATGTAGCAAATTAGAAACGTCCAGATCTCAGTTCAAAGGAACAGCCTGACGAAGCAGATATCGCGGTTTTGTGGGGGCAATCCAGCTAAACGTAAGACAAGCGGTCCGGAGAATACGGGTCGAAATACGTTCGAATCGAAATTAATCTCGTATTTCAGCGAATGTCGCTAGTGAATTGAATTATTGAATTATCACGCAGAAAATCAATTTTTTTTATCAGATAAACTTAGAATTCATAAAATCTTCCGACACACTCTACGGCAGCTGCTTGCACGGCAGCGGCCATCTTGTTCAACTTTTTCTGAATCCTCTAGATTTATTTGACCCAGATCGTGTCTTATAAAAATTCTCATCGGGCGAATCAATGCGATAATCCCGAACATTTCTTTATACAATTAATCTTGGAAATACTAAATAATATTATTGTTATTGTTATTATCATTATTACTACCTATTATTATTATTATTGTCATTATTAGTATCATTATTATTATTATTGTCATTATTAGTATCATTATTATTATCATTATTATCATTATTATTATCTATTATTATCATTATTATTACCTATTATTATTATTATCATTATTATTATCTGTTATTATTATCATTATTATCATTATTATTATCATTATTATTACCTATTACTATTATTATCATTATTATTATCTGTTATTATTATCATTATTATCATTATTATTGTCTGTTATTATTATCATTATCATTATCTATTACTATTATTATCATTACTATCATCTGTTATTATTATCATTATTATTACCTATTACTATTATTATCATTATTATTATCTATCATTATTATCATTATTATTATCTGTTATTATTATCATTATTATTATCTGTTATTATTATCATTATTATTATCTATCATTATTATCATTATTATTAACATTATAGCCGCCTTCGGGAATCTTGTTGAAGATTTTCTCCAGCTATAAAAATCAAAAAACAGAAATTATTGTTATTATTATTTTTACCATTACTTACTAATTAACCGGGAAAAATACCACTTTACCAAGATACCACCGAAATACCAAGAATACCGCAGAATAAAATATATCCAGCTATTCGAATTCAAAAATTGATTCAATTTCGCCGGCATACGTCGAACTCCGGAAGCTTCGAATCGCCGAACACATACGATATTTAATCGTGATCCGACGATTCGTTAACTCTATGATCTATATAAAATGTAATTATCACCGGCACTTTTGCGAGCGAACGTATGCTAGCGCGGCGCCGAAAACGATTCGTCGTCGAGCGGCGAACGCCGCGCGCGATAAAGGAAAGCATCCTCTACGCAGATCGAATGATACTTTCAATTCTCCTAATGCCGCGGGAGCGTCCGGTATAATTTAGCGAGGGGTAGTGCCGCTGGATGGTAGCTGATAGTGGTAAGTGATGGACATCGGTAATGTGCTGCATCTGCTTTGCCGCGAGAGAAACGGAGGAACCCGTCGTCGTCCTCCGGCCGTTCGAGCTTTTATGAAACCGCTCCCTTTGTTCCAGGAAAATAAATACAAGCCGGGAACGATTGTCTCATTGAAAAGGAATCCAATTCTTCGGGGACGAACCGCACTTCCGGTCGGCGCCGCTCTCTTTATCCGCTACCGAACGGCGTTTTTAAAACGTTCGTGAAACAATCTCGAGAGATCGATGATTTTACGAGCATAAGTGAACGATCCTGCGAACAATTCTGCGCGAACATCCCTTTTTGCACTTTATTTTTTGGAAAATTTGTTGTTTTACGTTGCTTTGTTATGTCGGACAGGAGATTAGGATGTTCGTAAGTTCGCGCGACGTCCTCGCAGTTTGCTTTTCTGCCAGTGATTATTGTCATGAACGCGTAAAGTTTATTATTTTATTATTTTCTTTTTTCTGGTTAGTTTTTATTATTATTTTTAGTTTTTATTATTTTCATATGGTATAATGAAAAATTGAAAGTATTAATGAATCGAATCTTGTAATGTATGCAAGTGTATATTTGTGTAAAATAATCTTGAGTAATCGTATTATTGTTATTTAGTAATTGAACGGGCAAAATACCCTTTAAATTATGTAGGATATAATATATACAGTGATTTCAATCGAAAATACGTAGCGTAAATTGCGTCGGAAAATTTGGAATAAATATACACTTGATTACATAATAATTGATTAATATATAATTAAAGAATTCTATTCGATATTTATATTTAAAGAATTTATGAAATATTGTCAAATATATCGGATAACAATACTAATAAAAATTGAAGAATCTACAGGGTTAACACCCAGAAGAGGGTGATTCCTCAGGACATTTGAAGTAACTTTTCCCTATACAAAAATTTTCTCCGAGGCATCGTTAACGAGTTATTAACGAAAGACAGTGACCAATGAAAGGCGAGGTCGCCTAGCGCGAAGCGGCCCAACCAATCAGCGGAACCGGGCTTCGAGCGCTCGTTGGCTCGGCCGCCGCGCGCCGCCTAGAGCTCGCCTCTCATTGGTCAGCGTTTTTCGCTAATATCTCGTTAACGAAACCTCGGAGAAAATTTTTGTAAAGGAAAAAGTTACTTCAAATGACCTCAGGAATCACCCATTTCTGGATATTAACATAATTATGGGACACCCTGCATACATAAAGAATTTACAAAATATCATTAAATATATCGAATAACAATACTAATAAATATTAATCAATCTATATCATTGCATACGTGCCATATTATCATCTGAAAGTCCTCGAACATTTTTTACAGTACAAAACGTGAACAAGTGGATACATAAAAAAATTGTTAAGAACTGACGATCGACGTTTTAGCACCGGCGTTCGACGACACGCGTTGAACTTTTTCATCCGAAACATTCTCATTTGAAAGAGCAACAAGTGCGCCTAATATTTTCGCATCGACGACGGACACTAAAAAAAAAAGAAAATCGTACAAAAGCAAAATGTGTATCTGTGTGTATAAAATCGACATTGACGACCGAACGAGACTACGTGCCATGTGGAATCACTGAGTCGTCAAACGAATTCGTGTCTTCTCGATGGCCGGCTAATCTCGCTTGTCCCAGAAACCTATAGACTCGGTTCGCGCCGGTTTCGCAGAGGCCATTTTGATTTTTCTAAAAATTAAGAAGTGGACTTCTTTCGAATAAAAATATTCACGGCTTTTTGCGATCGAGTATGGAACTATTATCGATTGTATTAGAATCTGGATGTACGCGTATTTTTAGACGTATTATTAACTACTATAGTTAGTCAGTAGAGCATTAAAAAAAATCCTCCGACGTTTTCTCTCTTGAACATTTCGTCGCATTGCAAAATTTCGCTTAATCGATCGATATGCCGGGTTCTATAACTTCACAATGCCATTGAAAGCAAACGCAAAGCACAGTAATTTCTCCGGGAAATGCTAAATTTCGGGTTGCTGTGAATTTCCCCGCGCTAGTTCCACGCCTATGCGATCTATTGCTACGGCGATGATAAAAATAACAGAAAATGGTCTGTTTGGGCTCTAAATTGCCTTCGTATCGTGGCAAATAATTAAAAATAAAAAAGTCAAGTCATCATTTTCATTCTACTTCTATCTTTATTCTATTTGTTTCTATTTATTAAGTCATCGTTATTCTTCCATTCATCTACCTTTTTTCGACTGCCCCGAGTTTCCATAAAAAACGAGCCGCGAGGCTCGAAGAATCGCGACTTAGTATTCTCGGATCCACCAGTTTCAATCTTAACCCCCGAAAATTTCTAAGAGAAATTACTACAGCTGTAAAAAACACGTTTACCGTGACGCTTGACCGTTCATAAACTAAAAACCAAAGCGAACCGCGACGCGTCGACGAATTGATTTCTTAATTGCCAGGAAAATCGACTGGAAAAATAATTACTGAGAAAGGACGCCGGTGTCGGGGCTCGGAAAAAAGGATAGAGAAGGCTGCAAGAGGGAGGAGGGGTAGAAGATTCTCTTCGGGAGACCTTGCAATCTCTTCTGCCATTCATCGGGCCTCGCGCCACCCACATCTCGCGGGCTCCAGTGACGTCACAAGGAATACATTCTGGAACCGGCACAGTTACGGTTAAATGGGGTGAGCCAACACTCGGCTTCAACCCCATGGAAAGTTCTGTCCGACCAATGGGGAATGGCGGTACCGCCGTGCGTCGACCAATCGCGTAGAGATCATCGCCGGGGAAGGACGCGTACGCAGGGGGGACCGAGGTCTTAAGAAGAGCCGAAGACGGTGGTACCGGGACACTGTTGCTTCCGGCCATCCGAGGGTGTGAATCATTGAACTCCTCCGGCTCCAGCTGACCTTATATTCCCCTGCGAATACTTCGGCGCGCCGAATCGCCGATTCGCCGAAAGTTCGAAAGAGATCGCCGGCTGCGTCCGCCGCCGGGAAAATATCGAGAAGTCGAATTTCCGAAGCACGTCGGAAGTTGCGTCGTTGTAAGTTCGATTTCGTCGAGGTCGAGGTCGAATCGACGGTTCGTCATGAGTGGATCCGGCAAAGGACTGCTGGGGGTGTGGCTCTACAGAAGAGGCGAGCACTGGACCATCAAGGAGGGAAGCCCCATTCACAAGGCCACCGACGTACGTTGCCGAAGAAATCGACAGTGTAGAATAGATCACGGTTTTCGTTAGATACGGTTCGCCTCGTCGCGCGATCATTTTGTTGCGTCTTTTTTTCGCGAAACAAGTAGAATCATTCTCGCGAGAAAGTCGGAGACCGTTCGCGATTCGTACGGGTCCTACGGTTTTAGCGTCCAGCCTGACAGAAGTTAGCGTTTAACTGGCCCGTTCTATGATTCCTTTGGGAGGCGCGTTGACTTCAGCTTTCTTATCGGTGACGATTCTCTTTTATCCAGGAAGAGAACGTTCGCGTGCGTTTTGCGTCGATGTTCAATGCGACGATTCGATATCGGCGAGGAAGGAATAGGATTCGATGTTTGTTCGAGAGAAACGATTAGTGTTCGAGTTCGAAGTTCGCGGCGGAAAGTAGATGAATATGGAATGCGATAAATTCTACCGAATTTTCCTTCGGCTTGTAAATAGAAATGGACGATTTGGGAGGAGAGGATGCGATTATTCGCGGCTCGTTTTTATAGTTACCGATGGATAATTGTAAATGCGAGCTGCGAGGCTCGAATAATCGTGTCTCCTCTTCCCAAATTGTCCATTTTTGTTTACACAGCCGAAGGGAAATCGGGGAGAATTTACCGTGCCGTTTTGTTTCTCGCGAGTCTGTTGCAATATTGCAAACGTAAGAGATAAAAGTTCTTGCGGACGTTCGCTCTATTCGGTTATTGTCGGCTATAGAATATTAACGTGTGAAAGATTCTCGATGTCGAACTTGCAGTAGAAAGACGCAAACGGTACCGAGTACAGAACACTGACTTCTCTTACGATACTTTAACGGAAAATTTGCGTCGGCTTCTGTTGGACAATCTCGTCGATCTTTTTATCGGCTGAGAATTCGGGCGTGAAATTCCATCGAAAGAATAATTAAATGAAAGAGCAGTTGCTTCGAATATAATCGTAAACCCCAATATCAAACTAAGCAGTGTCGAACTAAGCTTTTGTAGGAGCGTTATCGAACAACTCTGGAACATCGGCGTTGATCGGTGATTGATTTTTGTCGGTTTATACCTTTTGTTAAACATTACTCGCGTTGCATTTGATTTCCCGCGACATGACGGGAACATCTGTCGATTACAGTAAATTCTCCCCAATTCGCGCTCAGATCGCGCACAATAGTGGACAATTTGAGAAGAGAAGATGCGATTGTTCGAGCCTCGTGGCTCGTTTTTATAATTATTGACAATCAGTAGCTATAAAGACGTGGCCGCGAGGCTCAAACAATCGTATCTGCTCTTCCCAAATTGTTCATTTTTTAGCACAATCTGAGCGCGAATTAGGGAGAATTTACCGTATATCCCAAAATCCGAGCGTACTGCAAGGTACATATGTTCTTTCATTCGTTCAGATCCCCATGGTAGAACGCAGGCCGAACAACGACGTGAAAAGTTCCGTGATATTTTCGTTGAAAAATCAAGTCGGCGGCTTGGCACGAGCTCTGCAGGTCTTTCAGGTACGAAATAATTGTAACCAACCAAAAAGTAAGAATTAATTTGCGGTGGACTATTTAAAAAAAAACGTGGCGTTGCGCGAAATCGACGATCCTTCTTCTAAATAATCTACAAATAAAATTAGCAAATTTGAAGTTGCTTCAATCTGGCTACGATAAATTCTCCCTAATTTTCCTTCGGCTTGTGAACAAAAATGGACAATTGAGCCGTTTATTTTGAAAGTGGCATAAGTCACTTTGTTTTTAAGTCGATATATTTAAGGGTTTGCGTTTTGACACGTTTAAAAATATGGATGCTAACTTTCGAGAAGATTTACTTGTATTTGTTATCTCAGGATACTGATATTTTTCTCAGTATAAATAATTTCGTATAAACATTAAAAAATCACCACTTTTCATTACGATAAAGTGACTTATGCCACTTTCAAAATAAACGGCTCAAATTGGAATGAGGCGATACGATTATTTAATTGTTGGCGATAGGCAACTGCGAAAATGAGCCGCGAGGCTCGAATAATCATACCTCTTCTTCCCAAATCGTCCACTTCTGTTTACAAGCTGAAGAAAAATTCGGGAAGATTCACCGTACAAACTGAGCGTCGATTAGAGAAAATTTACTGTATTAAGACGCGTTTTTGCGTGTCCTCGGCGAAGGATCTAGGTGTGAACGTTGTGCACATCGAGTCCCGGAAATCTCTGCGTCGCGGCTCCGAGTACGAAATCCTCGTTGACGTCGAATGCGATTCGATGAGGATGGAGCAATTAACAAGAATGTTGAGCCGCGAGGTAGCCGCCATTAATTTGGCCCAGTACGAGCAAATGGGAAGCATTCCGCACGGTCCGTCACTTTCCGCCGCTCCGAGTTTCGGTGAGCATAATCTCTATTAAATAATTCATTCATTCGTTCGTTCATTCATTCAAAAACATTTTTTATACTCTGACATCTTCAACATATTTCCCGCGAAATATTCTCGAAATATTCTCCGCCAGAATCGCATTTCATTTCTGAATTACACACTTTTCTCGAGCAAACGTGAGCATCTGCAATTAATTTGTTTTTTAATTTTTTCCATCAGATAAATATATAGTTTTAGTAATTTTCAGGAACTCTTCGATTTTTCGACGTAAATAAAGATCTTAGTTTTAACGTGACGATTTAACAGATCGATAAATAAATAAATAAGAAATATACAAAATTCCACTGCTTATTTAGAAAATTTTTATTTTGCATAATACGGTATAGTGATTGCGGTGTAGTTAAAACTAGACCGCGGATTTTACGCGTTCGTGGCAAAATTCAGTAGCCGAAGATATAAGAAGAGTTTAATTAACGTCGTTGTACCATTTGCAACTGATCAAAATAATTAAAACGAACAATTCAATTTTATCTAATTTTTCTCTCTTACAATTGTCTCGCATAACTTTTTATTTTGCATAAAGATCCGCAATCTAGTTGCAACGTTCGCTTGTGCATAAAATTTGATTTGATTTGCTTCGCGTGCAATAACAAAATCAAGCTTGTTACTTACATCTGTTATTGACAGAAAATGTGTTAAGGAGCCGAAGTATCGAAAAATGTTTCTATTACAGATTTCAGCGAAGTAGACATGCCTTGGTTCCCACGAAAAATAGCGGACCTAGATCAAGCTCAGAAAGTGCTTATGTACGGATCCGAATTAGACGCGGATCACCCTGTACGTTCTCCGTTCTTCTAATAATCGATTGTTACCGTTAAATTCCTTCGTAACGTAAATCAAACGTGGTGTTTTAGGGCTTCAAAGATCCGGTGTATCGGAAACGTCGTGAACAATTCGCTGACATCGCGAACAATTATAGATAGTACGTGAAATATTTTTAACGATGTAGATTACAGTTTTGTTAGATGATCTTCCGAGCCGTTGTTTATCATCTTATTGTTTCATTCCAGTGGCCAACAGATTCCCCGTATTCAGTATACGGCGGAGGAAATCAGGACATGGTTCGTAAACCCTTTTAGTCTTTTTGCCTGAAAAAATTATAAGTTATAAATTATAAGTTACAAATTAGAAATTAGAAAATTATAAGTTATAAATTACAAATTATAAATTCCAAGTTATGATTTACAAGTTATAAAATTCCAAGTTATAAATTAGAAGTTATAAAATTCCAAGTTATACATTAGAAGTTATAGAATTACAAGTTATAAATTACAGGCTATAAATTATTGTACAAGTCATAAATTCCAAGTTATAATTTACAAGTTATAAAATTCCAAGTTATAAATTAGAAATTATAGAATTACAAGTTATGAATTACAAGCTATAAATTATTATGCAAGTTATAATTTACAAGTTATAAAATCCCAAGTTATAAATTAGAACTTATAGAATTACAAGCTATAAATTATTATGCAAGTTATAAATTCCAAGTTATAATTTACAAGTTATAAAATGCCAAGTTATAAATTAGAAATTATAGAATTACAAGTTATAAATTACAAGCTATAAACTACAAGCTATAAATTACAAGACAATTAAAAGTTATTGAAAAGAAACTCTGATCTGCACGCGATTCTTTTCTATATCGTGAAATCAAGGACTGCTCGAGTCTTCATTTGGAACTCGCGCTCGTTATGACAAAATCATTGTACGTGCTTCGAGAAGCGCGAAGGCAATCTATAACGAAGAATCTATGCTACGTACTTCGGGTCGCTCTCCCACTTCGTCGTCTAGATCTTGCCAATAGAAGGATGGAGAGTTTATTCGCGTTCCTACTTCTTCGGGACGTGTGAACAAACTAAGATTGCCGGGCGCTGAATGCGCTCCTTAATTGCCCTGATTCGATTTATCCTCGCGATCTCTCTCTCTCTCTCTGGAAGCGACCATACTAATCCGATTTCTACCGAATACGTACGACGTACAACGGAAGCGTGGATAAATCAGTTATTCCCCCGCCCCTTCAATAATTTATGAAACACGTCGGCAGTTAAAATATTGAACAGTATACACGAAAGGGAAATCAACAGGCAACGAGAGATAAAATAATTGCAGTTTGTTGCATCGAACGTTTTATACTTTGAATATCGTCGATGATGTTTATAGTTTAGGGTTTGAGTTTGACGAAATGAAGAGTCAAACCGAACAAATAGCGTACACTTCGTTGCATTAATTCGTTGTCGATTTAATACAAGAATATTCACTTGCACTTATAGTGCTTCAATTGCAACGTGTGCATCTCGTTATGGTTATACAATTACTGTATATTTGTGAAAATTAACTCATTGATACCTTTTTTTATGCTAATCCGATTAACCTTGCCCGATGGAAACAAAAAGGTTATCTTTTCCGTAAACAACTTCGACGAATTTCACTTCTATGACGCGCAATTTAAACGCGGTCAGTGAGCCTTTTGCTCAAAATTTTAGGTTCCGTTAGACTTTCTATTCAACTCTAAATCGCAAAATTTTATCGCAGGGAAGCTGTTTACTTTTGCTCATGTCGTAAATGTCTGAAACCTCTGTTCATTGTTACGCATAACCTTCTTTTCTGCTGCCAAAAGCACTCGGCAAATCGTACTAGCATAAATAATCGTTATTAATCGCAAACACATTATTCGCTGCTGTATCGACTCTTAAATCTTGCTCGATGCCTAGGGGAACCGTGTTCCGCGAGTTGCATCAACTGTACCAGAAACACGCGTGCAAGGAGTACCTTGAAAATTGGCCGAGGCTGGTTAAATACTGCGGTTATAGGTAACAGTTTTTTGTAATTACGTCGAGCTACCATCAGGGCGCGACCATCGATTACGATTCGTGATCTTGTATTGTTTTGCGACAGGGAGGACAACATACCGCAGTTACAGGACGTAAATACATTCTTGAAACGTGAGTGTGCAATTATACAGGGTGTCCCTAAAATGTCACGCAATCCGAAAGTGGCGGGTTCCACAGTTCATTTGAAGCAACTTTTTCCTTTACAAAAATTTTCTCCGAGGCACCATTAACGAGTTATTAACGAAAAACAGTGACCAATGTGAGGCGAGCTCGGCTGGCGCGAGGCGACCGAGCCAATGAGCGGAACCGGGCTTCGTGCGCTGGTTGGCTGGGCCGCCTCGCGTCAGCCGTCCTCGATTCTGATTGGTCACTGTTTTTCGCTAATAACTCGTTAACGGTGCCTCGGAGAACATTTTTGTAAAGTAAGAAGCTGCTTCAAATGATCCGAGGAACCCGCCATTTCCGTATTACGAGACATTTTTGGGATACTCTGTATGCTCTGTCGACGAATTAACGATAACAAAATCTCCGCAAACTCACGCTTAACGATGACAAAAACAAAGGTACGACCGGATTCCAACTTCGTCCTGTGGCCGGCTATTTGTCTCCGAGGGACTTTCTGGCAGGACTTGCTTTCCGTGTGTTTCACTGTACCCAATATATTCGACACTCGTCCGATCCCTTCTACACACCCGAACCGTAAGTCCACTCATTAAACAATTAAGATCGTAAAAAAATGATTTCAGCAAAAATTCTTTTTCCGCGAAGCCTCTTCTACTTTCGAGATGATCGACGTCAGAAATTCTCGGGGATTTGTATTTACATTAATCGATACATTAGAAGAACAGAAATACATTGAAAGAACGGCAATGCATTAAAAGTTATTTAATTAATATGTTTTTGAAGTCAAGAAACTTTGGTTAAGAAATGTAGAAATTTTAGGGTTAATTTGTTGACAGTCGATAACTATAAAAATGAGGCTCAAATAATCGTATCTCCTCTTCCCAAATTGTTCATTTTTGTGCACAATTTGTGCGTCAATTAAGAAGAATTTACTGTATTTCTTTGTCGGTTCTACTGATTGTTACGTCGAATATTACGCATGCGAGTATATTCGCCGTCGACTTGACTTCGATTCTACATAAATGCTAGGCCGTCACCTCCGACCGTACTTTCGTCGTTCGCAGGGATTGCTGCCACGAATTGTTGGGACACATGCCGCTCCTAGCGAATCCAAGTTTCGCGCAATTCTCCCAGGAACTTGGACTGGCTTCCCTGGGCGCCACGGACGAGGACATCAATAAATTGGCAACGGTGAGTGCATCGTGCCCGAGGCAGTTTCTGTGTTTCATTAAAACTTCACGAAAATATATTTCGTGCCGACGAGCCTCCGCCTGCTTCCCGTACATTGTCCGTTTCTTTCTATTGTCTCTGCCCAGCTGTACTTCTTCACCGTGGAGTTCGGTCTGTGCAAACAGGACGGCGTGCTTCGAGTGTACGGTGCCGGTTTGCTGTCTTCTGTTGCGGAACTGAAGCACGCGGTTTCCGCCCCGGAGAAAACGTTCCGCTTCGAGCCGGAAGTCACATGCAGAAGCGAGTGCATCATCACCGCGTTCCAGAACAACTACTATTACACAGACAGCTTCGAAGAGGCGAAAGAGAAAATGCGGTACACCTTTGTTGTTTTGCCCCCACCGTAACGAACTCGTGAATTTTTATCGCGAAACAATATTCCCTACGTGAAATTATTTCAAATGCTACGAAAATTATTTCGAACATTCCGAGGTTTCTCCAACAAACAAAATCCAGAAACTCGTGAAATTATTTACGAGGATCGCTTTAAAATCAAATGTAGCTCGACTTGTTACGAATGAAATTATTGTAAAATGTCGTTATTAAAAAATTGAGAGAACTGTTAAGTCGAAGCGTGTATGTGAAACATTAAAATCATATAATTGTTTGTTTTAGCTCGTTCGCAAATCAAATAAAACGTCCCTTCGGATTACGATACAACCCTTACACGCAATCCGTGGAGGTTCTCACCGACGCTCAGAAGATCACCGCAGTGGTCAGCGAGCTCAGGGGTGATCTTTGTATCGTTTCGAACGCGCTGAAGAAGATACACGAACAGGACAGCACCGTAGACGTCGAGGGGATAACCAGCCTATTAACTCACGGCATCGAGTTACCGCAGGACACGTCGTCGTCCGACAGCGACATCGACAAGAGCCCTAACGTAGAAGCGCCCCAAAAGACCGTGCAGGATCAGGACATGGAGTACACCTCTGACAGCAATACGATTGTCGCGCAAGATTAAACGATTCCATTCTACGAGTATAAATATCATGTTATGCGGTGACGCGTACTATTAATTAGTTTTAGAAGCATTGTATCTGTAAATGTTATGTCTGCATGTAGCACGAAGAAGATAAGCTAAACGAGTACCTTACGGAGAATTCATGCTTGTAGCGAATTTAAATAGAGTGTCGTTGAGATACCGAAGTATCTAAAAAGGTAATAAATACACAATAGATACGAACGCATAATAGTCGACTGGTTCGAAGTAATTTTGGTTTTATGAGTATTCGACGTATGTAACGACGTTACGATAGTGTAAATAGTATGACATAGTTGTGTACGTACAGAAATGTATGTATGTACGTGCCACGTACATCATTGAATCGACTACTTATCGATTTATTATTCATAGCGACTTGATTTTTATCATTTTCTCTTTCGGACACGACCGGTAGATTACGTATTTTGGAATCGAACATTTTATTATGTGGTATAATAATAATATTTATTTGGAAAATTCAACTTTCTGTTAACTTTCTAATAAACATTACTGAACATCGATTTAGAAAAGAAATATAGAGAAAAAGTTGTACAACAAATTAAATGTATTATTACAGACGAGATCTCATCTGTGATATTATATTTTTCTTGTATATATTTCAATTGAACATGTGGTGCTATCTACAGCGAACCTCCCTAAGTTTAATATATCCGAGTCGGTAAAACAGTCGACTTGTGCCATAAAAAACCATATGATATACGATCTAGTCTTATTATGTACATACTGCCTCTTTGTCAAAACTCAGTGCACAATGCAGTATGTACAATGAACAGTCTGGACAGACTTAGTATATTCTTTGTTTGTATTTATTTTCAACTCTGATATCTTTGTCTTGTTGGAGGAATAATTATCTTCAAATATTTTATAGAAGCTTATCAACGCCATTTTTGTTTGGAAATGTGGAATTGGTGAAACATGTTTACCATTTGTTCAAATCACAATTTTCGAATTCACATATGTAAATCAATTCGGCGTGGTTGCCAATGATTTAATTAAAGAATAAAAATAGTTCACTGTAACAATAAGTATATGAATGGATCACTTTATTTACTTATACATAAGTCAATTTGTACTCCAAAAATGTTTACTCTACAATTTGGCCAGTGTGGAAATCAACTAGGTCATGCATTATTTTCTAAAATATCAACAGATCTGGAGTGCGTAAATACTGGTGTCCCATACAATAACAATTTTCAGTATTCTGAAGACACATTTAATAAATGGTTTAGTGGCATATCCAAAGAAGGTAAACGGTTAGCAAGAGCATTTCTTGTAGACACAGAAGACAAAGTAATAAAAAAGATTTGTAATGATGCAACAATACCGTGGACATATCGTACAAAAAATGTAATTTGCCAATCTGGAGGAGGATGTGCAAATAATTGGGCATACGGTTATATGATAAAAGGACACGAGTTGAAAGATCAGATACTAAATTCTATAAGGCAAGAAATGGAGAGGACGGATGATTTTGACGGATTTCTTATACTCTTAAGTTCATCTGGAGGTACAGGATCTGGCATTGGAAGTTTCATTGTACAATTGTTACGCGAAGAATATAGTACAAAACCAATTATTACCACAACAATATTACCATTTTCGTTTGGCGAAGTGTGCACTCAATACTATAATACATTGTTCACATTGGCAAAACTTTATGATCATACTGATATGAATATAATAATTGAAAATGAACAAGTACATGACATATGCAAAAATTTGTTGAAAAAGTCTGCAACAAGCTTAAATGATATGAATGAAATTATTTCTGAAAAATTATTGGCTGTGTTCCAACCAATCAACAATTCAAAATCTAGTGTAACAGCATTGGTGTCCGAAATAGCATCACATCCTTCTTATAAATTGGCAAGAATCAAAAGCACACCACATATACCTACTACATACTCAAAGTATGAATCTCTTCATAATTGGAATCCCTATATACAACATCTAAAAGAAACACTTAGAGTACCAAACTTAGATTCAAAATTGACCGATGTGGAATTAAAACCACCTCCTAGTTTATTAAGTACAACTGTGCATCATGTATACGCATGTTCAGTATCAAATGTTCTGATTACACGTGGCTCCAAAACAGATAATGATCCCATTATAGCCAATGAATTTAGAGATAAACGTCTGTATCCAGACTGGAATAGTGCTAACTGCTTTTCTCATTTGCATCAACAACGAAAATTCTTAAATTATGATAAATTTCTTGCCCTGCTCACCAATAACTCCCAAATTTCCTATTCTCTGGACACAGCTTTAAGTAAATCATGGAAATCTTATACCCATGCTGCATATCTGCATCAATATAAACGGTTTGGTTTAGAAGAAAATGATTTTTTACAAGCATTTTCAGTACTTGAAAATGTTGTGAAAGAATACCGAGAACTTAAATAGGAAGTAATGAAACTAAAATGAATTCAATTTCGTGTACTACAAGTAAATCGATTAAAATTTATGTTAATTTAAAAAAAAAAATGTAAATCGAATATCTACAACTCATAAAAATACTATCTTACGAACTATTAAACGTTTACATTTACCATAAAACATTATTAGTTTAGTCTTATAATAAAAAATATTACTTTTGCGAAATATTTTAAGATTAGTAGGAATTACATAGCTGTAAAAATTACTTACAAAACAACAATTACTGATATCGATGAAAGATATACATTCGTATATCAAATAAAATGCATAATCTCTTAATCAATTATCATAAAAAACTAAGAATATCAGTCCTCAAGTAAGAAATCCGAGTAACGAACGCGAATCATCTAAAGAACATGAATGAGAGGGTGGTTATGACGTCATTAGAAAATCGACCAAATTGCGACATCTTGTATTACGTCAGATGGAGCAACTACAGCGGGGACAAAATAAAAGATAAAAAATCTGTTTATATTCTCATGGCAGATAGAGATAATAAACAAGTCAAGTAAGAATATAAAATAATAGAATATGCAAAATAGATAATTTCGCGCACTACAATTATTTTAAAAACCAAATACGATTGATATTCGCGTGCCAATTTATTTTAGCCGACAATAATACAGTTTCATTCTATTTTATTTTTATTAATTATCTAGTAGTAGGAGAAAACGCTTAGCTACAATGTTCAACATCAATGTGGAATATTATGTGTACAATATAGCTAATCACTCCCTTGCAACGCACGGTTTGCGCGTGTGCAAAGGAACGACCGAATCCGTCGAACATAAACGCTGAACGAAAAAGTTCGGGCCATTTCCAGGAAATAACGAAAACGATTCTTGGAAGTGGTGGTCGTCTTTACCCCCTCCCTATACTCATCTGGTCAGAATAGGTTCCTTCGGAAACCTTTCACATTATACATTTACTTAAGATTAAAATTTAATCCTATGATAATACACCATTATTTTATATATTTTTCAGGGGCTAATCGTGTGTAAATATTTTATCAACGTATTATTAATACATTATTTTGCATGGCATTAATAGATCGTTTACGTTCGACAACATTCACGTTCTTCAAACATTCGTTGCGAAGCATTCAAAGTGAAAGCAAATACATATTGTAGTTACGTATGTGATACTTAATAATGTTTTGAAGTTTCTAATGAAACTGCCTGTAACTACACGGGACGACCCAAGGTCAAAGTTTTAGATGCGTTATGTAAAGGTAGGGAAAAAGGAAAGAACCGTCGGTGCGACGGAATATACTACATATAAACAACGACAGATGCACCGTCCACACCGTTCTCTAACATCGGTCAAGCGTTACAGGTACAGCCACGATTGTCAAGAACTCGTTTGCTGCCCCCTTCATCGCCCCCTACATTATACCCTAACTATTGAGCTCTTTCAAAATTAACTACACCTCCACACTGATCGTACGAATCGAACAGTACCATAGAATCAGAAGAACAATGTGAAACGATCGATCTACATCAATTAATTATATATGTTTCAAAATATGTAACAATATTCGTGCTCGATAAATATTCCTTCCTCTTCGATAGAACGAAGACGCAGCTTTGTATTACCGATTTTCCACGACACGGGGTTGAAGGAAACAGCGAGTGAGTCAAGTGGTGGCGCCATCTAACGTGCACAAGACGCCCGCTCGCGAGAAGGGAAATTAATATGTAAACATTCAGTTCGCATAAAGTTACAGTTTAAAATACCGCGAAAGCTTGTTCCTTGTACCGCATCAATTATCTTGTGTGTTCCAACGAATACACCGATCGAGGTTATTCACGAACGTAGTTCGGGATCGCCAAGAGATAGAATTCATCGTTTCTCCATTACTTACTTTCATGCATCTTCCGAAAACAGAAAGCGTCCCTGCCTGCAGCATGCTGTAGACCTGTGCGCGATACGTGCACGAACATAGAGTACAGAATGGTGTTGGTGTGCGCGACTCGAATACCAAGAGGCGTGGTTTGAATAGACGGACGACCTGTTCCAAGCTTTGTCCCCCTCTGTTCTACAGAATAGCACGGTAGCATGTGTTTTAGCACGCACGCATACGCGCGCACACAGACGCGCACGTGTGACACAAAAGAAGGGCGCACTCTGGTGTCGACGCCGCGGACGATGGCACGCGCCATTTTGTTTAGTGTCCGCTGGACGCGTCGTGCGTCGGGGTGCCGCGGGGTTGCTTTCATGACTGTCAACAGCAAGATATTCGCGGCTCTCTGAGCTCGCCTACCAACTGGGACATACACATACAAGTGTCACGTTCGAGACGGTGTGATGCGTGCATAATCCTCTGCATGATTATTGTGCTGTGCGAGACGAGGATCATTTCTACGAGAGAGCCGCCGAGGACTCTCGTGCGCCTCGTAGTGTCAGATACACAGCAGCAGCACCAGCTCCGAAGAGTCCGTGACTGCATGGCGTCAGTTTCGACTTTATGGATACCTCGTAGGGAATCGCCGTCGCCGCCGCCGTCTACCACGGCGAGAATTTGTTCAGCAGGTAAGCGCCGAGGGGTTGCAGCGCGTGGGCATAATCGATAAAGCATTTCTCTCTCTCGTCCGCTTCCTATTCCTCGTTTCTAAACACAAGGCGCCTCCGCCGCGCAGACAATTTCTTCCGTACCTTTTCCAAACGTTCGACGCTTCATGCTCCGACGAGTTTTTCATACCGAATGTCGTGAGCCCTGACCACGGTACTGTCTCGCTTGTGCAAGCCGCCCGAGGAAAGTGAAAGCCCGTTCCCGATCGTTCTGCATTGAGTGCGGATCTCGTTGCGTCCGTCACCGCAGCGCACGGTTCATGCTATCCTCCTGCAACGTTTACACGGGTTCGAACCCGTGCGTAGCCCGTCCGGAGTGTTCTGTCGGCACTTTGAACCCTACTCGGTTTACATACACCCGCGAACGCGTTGGTTGCTCTCGATCGACCATGGAAAAGTGATGCACGCGGAAAACACTTTTTTAGGAAAACTTGATCTTTCACATATTTTTGTTACTACCGATACCTGGGCGAACGTTTGTAAACATTCTCGTATCGACCAACCGTGCAATATTTAAAACCAGTAAAGTGTTGGAATTGAGCACTGGTAAACAGGAAACTATAATAATAACACAGAAAAATTTGTAATCGTATCAACGACATTATATATTATTCGTTTTTGTTTATAGAACTTAATATTCGATAGCTTATCAAATTGTTAAGCTTCTGTCACTATGTTTATTTAGCTTGGACTATCACAATGAATTTCAATTTCTGTATTTCCGAGAAGATAATAGTGCTCTGAGACAGCCAGTTCAATTTTTTGTAAAAATTGTGATAACGTGCGTTTGTGACAAGTCGGTACATCAATGTACTACGTGTCGATTAATTTGGCACCGTGGACAGCATTGCGATCACTCAATTTATCGGGTGATTTCAATGCCTGGATGTGCAGTAAAACAGAGCCCATTTCAATTTGACATCAACGTGATATAAAACAATAGCGATCGATTTGTATTTCAACTTCTTGCGTTCAGCACCGTGTTATGTATTATGTTTTAAACAGGGGCTGAAAAGACTTCGATTTTGCGAAACAGTTTTTCTCTTCTTTCTAATTAATCGTTCGTGTACTTTTAAAAATGGCACTTCGCATTTCCAAGAGATCGTAATCTCGCTCTCTTTGCATTTTCCCCGAGGGGTCGCGCGCCTGTTTAACCGGGGCGAGGGTGTGTATGTGCAAGCACGAGTTCGAAGATATTTTTCGTTCGTTCAATAAATATTCTTCGCAACATTATTTCGTTTCCCACGATGGCCGCAACGTCGATGCCGATATTTTCAGTTTCTTTCATAAAACTTAACGATAATTATTTTCCATATTCAACGAAGCCACGCGAAAATATTGTACTTACACGTTGAAAACATTTCACGGGTTTAGAGTTGTGCAATATATTCTTTTAGCTTTATTAAATTTGTCGTTTTATGTTAGTCACCAACCTCTTAGCAGAATGATCCAATTTGCCTTGATTTCCGAAGCTTGCTTGCATTACAGATATCGAAGGTCGCTGCTTTGCGATATGTTTTTAATTTTATCGTAACAGCGCAAACGGCGGGCTCTCGAACGAAAAACAAAGAGAGCAACGAATATCCCCCCCGTTAGAAATTCGTTCTTCCCCAACTTCGCCTATTAGGGGTAACTTGACTCAAGAAACAAAGGGTGCAACGTGTTCACTCTTTCGGAACATCGATTTGTTAACTCGGGGAAACATTTAAGTCCTTTTCGACTACGTCGAATCACCCGCTCAAATAACAAACTCTGTGCACTGAACACAGAAATTTGTGAACGCTGTAGCGTATGATCATGCTTAATAAATGGAATATGTACTGCGTTGGCTAACGGTGCAAATAGAAAGATAAACAATAATAAGTTCGACGCTCTGTTGTATCTACAGATAAGAATTATAAATATTTCTACAGATTTTTTAAAATTGATTCAGACAAGTAAATAAATTGTTCACCGTTCAGGATTAATACATGTTGATATTTTTATAAGAGTAAAATGTACGAATTCGAATAACTGGGATATACAAAGTTGTTATGGGCCTCCTTTTTAACGGGAATTAACAGGTTTAAGATTTAGAAGGTTTCGGGGGGTTGTTGGACGCACATTAGAGCTACCTCGTCTTCGACACAGGTGCCTGGGATTAATCCAAGACACGCCTACCCGTGACTCACTCTACAAAACTCCCGTATTCTTTTTTTTCGTGGCGCGAAAGGGTGCCGCGTTTAAACTGGTGCACAGTTATATGTATATCTGATGCGATTCTTAATTAGCCCGATCCATCCGCATTTGTATTGAAAATACGTCAGGAAACAACATTTAATTGGGCAATGAAATGATCGTAGCAAGCTTTATCTAAATTTGGACCCCATTGAATTAAAAGTGTTTATTATTCTTAGATAATATGCATTCTTGGAGAATGTTCCTCTTAATCGTATACCTTTCTTAGTACGGGGTGGTCCGTTCGATCGGTATTAAAAAAATGCAAATAACAAGGTCTAGTCCGATCTAAGGAATTCGCAGGAAAAATAAAACGACGATTAAGTTTGGTATGTGACGGCCACATACCACGCCTCTTGCTAGATCGGCATTCCATTGAACCCAACTTCCCCATGTTCTACTAAATGTGATTTCGGACTCGTCTCTTCGTCTTTCCAGCCATTGTTTAACTCCTGACAATATGGTGATAACGGGTGACCCCGTATTTTTTGCCTGCAACCGTCACGTAACTAATTAAATGAAACCGTATTCTATCTAAATGTGTAGCAAAACTTTTCGGTGTTAATCCTTATGTCAACAAGAAGAAAAAAAAACTATTCCACGATATTAAAAATTAGAAATTTTCAATTAGTCGGAAGCTCTCGTTCGTAAAAGTTTTAATATTTATTTTTATGCTGTAAATGTAAATCGTGTCCCAAGAATGTTTTAGAATTTTTTAACAACTGTTTTACCATGCTTTTGCGCGCACACGTTGTTAGCAAAAATTTGCACACAAGTTGCAAGTGAATAGCCGTTGACATAAGGGTTGGCGGAAAATAGTTTCTCTGACAAATGTGTACCTTGACATAACCTTGTTTTTAGTACTTGATAACGGAAAAATATACAAGCATGCGCACCCCTGCTGAGACCGAGACGCTATCTCAACCTGAGATGTACAAATTTGAGTCTCAGGAAACGGATACAACGTCGACCGTTAATCAAGTAGTTTTATCAACATCTCACTCGGAATCGCACATATTTACTAATAGGTAAGAACGGTATCACACACTCGTACAATTCTAATTAAGTATGGATGCATTTGAAAATGTAAATACTTTATACTTTATGCACATAGAATAGTTAAGGAAAAAAATGGTAAGAGCTCTCGCTTGCTTCCGTGCATGCGTATTGTTTGTCGAAGATTTCGAACTTGTTTATACGTTCAAAAGAAGGCGCTGCTCTCAACTAAAGTTACGCGCGTCGATTCCGCGCATGCGCACCTTCGATTACCTCTCGCGTCGAACTGTGACACTCTTTAAAATTTGCGAAGTAAACGAACTTGGAGACAGCTACGATTCCGATAAGGGCACCCGATGAAAATTCTGATCGCGCTAAGGCCATGCTGAGAAAAGATCGCGTAAGACAGACCGCGAAAACGGCCTCTGTTATAACATAATCAAGCTGCATTTACTGGCCACTGTAAAAGATAAATTACACTTGATCGTCGCGCGTGTGTCATATCGGAGAAGTAAACGGTAAATGCGTCCCTCTGTCGGCGAACTTGTCAGTTCGCGATATGTTTCGTGTTCACGTGTGTCGTGTGTAATTTTCTCCGCGCTTATTTCTCGCTTGGCTCGCGAACGTTCAGTCGGTCGCATAATTTTGTGACAGTTTCTGTCAGTGTATGAAACGCGAGGGTGCCGTATCCATATGCTACACGCGGCACGATGGTTTTTACACGGTTTTTCCTTAGGAAGACGCCGAACGACGATGCGACCGTTCCAAACAACGTCGGTACAAGGAGGTGAGCTCGAAGGCCAAGTCGTCGTCGGAATGCGCTTCCGATAACGGCACCATCGTTCACGGTTCCGATTTCGTTTCTCGCATTAACACGTTCACGCGCGAAACTCCTGTGTGCTCGCGATCTCCCGAATTCAGCCGATACGTTAACCGGAACGGCATCCGATCGAAATCCCCGCGGTTCGTTATACTGGTGTCATTTTCTGGCAGTACCCACTGTACCAGTTTTCACAAACATTTATTACCACGCGGTTTCAACATTCCCCCGAGCGCAAATATTCTCAATGGATTGCGCGCACAGCGAGCGGCACACGATACGTATCGAATGTAATACTTACTTATCGATACTTGTACACCAACGGTCATCAATATTATTATCGAAGGGATCGTTTTACAGAGAACGTAACTTGTCACTCGATTTCAAGTTTATAATTTATTCGGGTCGATTGCGTGTGCTTGACAGGTGGACAAATCACGCACAAAAAACATGCCAGCAATTAAAAACTGGACTTTTGTACCTTTATTATCAACTTTTGTAATGATTATGATGGTTCGTAGAGCGGTCTTGTACCGAGTGAGCCGTTTCCTTTCTCTCGATATGGCGTGTGTAGTGTGTCCATTGTCATTGTATGTTATGCGAGTAGAACAAATTTTCGTAAACACAGCGTATGTTTACGTTCTTCGAAAATTTCCCGTCCGTCGTCGGATTTCTCGTTCGGGGATTAAAATTAATAATCGAATGCAAACAATCGTGAACGATAATCGGAATGCATAACTTGATGTGTTCCTGGAACAATCGATACCCCTCGAAGAAAGTTTTTCCTAGGCTGAGAACATAATGACGCGATTGTATCAGCTGACTACTCTCGCGCCTTGATAACACCGGACTTCAAATCAAAACAGCAATTTATTTCGCGCTAATTTTACAACCGTTCCGTTCCGTTTGATTTTCCGAATTCATTCCAGCGTAATATTTGACTGTAATGAGATTATTTAGTTAATAAATCGTAGCGAAACGAATAATAAAAAAAGAACAATGATACTTAATGTCAAGTAGTTTCGGCGCAAGCCTATGTATCATTTTAAATAAAGAATTACGTTGACAATTTGTTACTTACAATTTATACTATTGCGCGTGTACCCATCGTTATAGTTGTGCAGCTTTAAATGGATAAAAAGCCTTTTAAGTATTCACTTTTGTTGCATCGCCGAGCAGCGAGTCAAATCAATAATCTGCTTTCATTTCACATATGAATTTTAAATTACATACTTTCAAATTGTGGAATATATATTTACATGGTTCTTATTGTTACATACACTTGTTAAATTATATCTATAGCATGTACATATCTTTTTTATGGAGTCGGTTCACATTATTTAATATTATCGAAGATACGTAAACGGAAGCTTAGTTGAGTCGTGTGTAAAATCTTTTTAATTTGAAAATAAATATTGTACGCACGTATAGCGGCTCGCGCGTAACGTACGTGACATGCAACGCTCAATACGTATCGGAAAATGTAGTAAGGGGAATGCATATGTATTCCACTGATCACAGAGACAGAGAGGGACACACGAATTAAGCTTGCACCAACACATGGTACTTTCTTTGTCATTTTTGGCGCGAACCGAAGCAATTGCAACTGACCTTCAAAACTTTCATCAAGATACTGCTAATATCTTTTATAAATAACTAAACGAAATAGAGTAACTCATAAAATAGTTTTGTTCCATCAACAAAAAGATCTTTGTATTTTCTCAATTGATAAATAACACAAAATGCAATCGCTTCTTTAAAAATATTGATTTTAACAACGTGTTTCTAATATCTGTATTGAATAGATAAATGTTACATTATGTACGTATATAGATGTTAGTCTCAGATCACTTTTTCCTTTTAATAACAGCATAAATTAATTATTTTAGCATGTTATGCATCCAAGAAGAATTGGGCCAGCTAGGTGGAATTGCAGGAGGTCCAATAGTCACTGATTCAAGAGAAGCTCAAATACCTAATAACAACCATACCAATTCTGAAAGCAATACAAATTCCAGTGAAACTGCGACAAAATGTACTCCTGGTTCTGGGTCTTTGGACACGCAAAGGACAAGTTGGGTCGAAGGTATATTGGGTTGCATGCGCCCAGTTTGGAGTATGCTTTCCAAAGCAGCTGTAAATGAAAAGATTAAAGGACATCAAAGTAAATAACTGTTTTATATGTGTTTGAAACATTTTTTTTTTAAATGCCTAGCTAATAATAGAATATTATTCTAGCGGACGATTGGGAAATACCGTTTGAATCGATTAGCGAACTTCAGTGGCTTGGATCTGGAGCACAAGGGGCAGTATTTAGTGGGAAATTAAACAAAGATATTGTAGCTGTCAAAAAAGTACGCGAACCACGCGAGACTGATATAAAACATTTACGAAAGCTTAATCATCCGAATATTGTTCAATTTAAGTAAGTTTTTATTCATTTTTTTAATATTGAAAAACGTATAGTTACGTGATACTATAAAATATTGTTATTTAATTTCAGAGGAGTATGTACACAAGCACCTTGTTACTGTATAATAATGGAATTTTGCCCGTATGGACCATTGTATGATCTTCTCAGGGCTGGGGAGCCTGTTCCACCTCCTAGATTAGTATCATGGTCTAAACAAATTGCAGCTGGAATGGCTTATCTTCATGCACATAAAATTATACACAGAGATCTTAAAAGTCCAAAGTATGATTTTCACTTAAGTATATAAAAATTGCATAATCATCACGCGCGCGTGTTCAACTGAATGAAATAAAATGGTATAATATTATTTATTTTTCAGTGTATTAATCGGGCAAGGAGAATTAGTAAAAATTAGCGATTTTGGAACTAGTAGAGAATGGAATGAAATTAGTACAAGAATGAGTTTTGCTGGTACTGTCGCCTGGATGGCTCCGGAAATAATTAGAAACGAGCCATGTTCTGAGAAAGTAGACATATGGTCGTATGGTGTTGTATTATGGGAATTATTAAGTGGCGAAATACCTTATAAAGATGTAGATTCTTCTGCAATAATTTGGGGTGTGGGCAACAATTCTCTCCACTTACCGATCCCAGCAAGTTGTCCGGAGGGTTACAGGTTACTCGTAAAGCAATGCTGGGCTGCGAAGCCGCGCAATAGACCTTCCTTTAAGCACATTGAAATTCATCTCGGTATTGCAGCGGTCGAAGTACTATGTACAAAACCCGACGAATATTTTAAAACACAGGTACAGTAATATTAATCTTGAGAACAAACCATAATTTAAAATTAACGTACTCAATAATTGCTTTGATTATAGCAATCATGGAAGAAAGAAATTAGGGATCACATGAAACAAATGCAAACAAATAGTTGTAGTAGTCCGAGATTTGAAGCTGACTTAATTCGACGACGTGAGGATGAATTGAGGCATGCTCAAGATATTCGAGAACACTATGAACGTAAATTGGAGCGAACTAATAATTTGTACCTAGAATTAAGTGCTGTTTTACTACAATTGGAGCAACGTGAACGAGATGTAATCAAGTAAGTAGTTATCCGACATTTGCAGTAAGCTTAAAAGTATACATGCGGTCTGTATTTTAATTTTATATTGTATTTTTTAGACGCGAACAACAAAACGGATATAAACAGTGTAAAAAACGTCTTGTACATCCTCTTCTAAAAGCTCAAGAAAGACTTCATCGTAGACGTAATCCAACGACGCAATTTTCAACATCATCCACACCAACAACTCCACCATCACCGACAGACTCTTCCCAGAGCCCTGTGAAAGCAACAATGTATACACAATTAAATGAATCTAACCAACCAGAAACGATTCTGGCTCCAAATAATAGTTTTAAGCAACGTAAATACAGGCATCGTAGAGTAGGATCAGGATGTGGTGTAAGTTCCAGCCCTAGATCAAGCCCTCATCGCGAAAGAAAAGTACGTATCTACAAAAGAAATCTGCACATTGTATATATTAAGAATAATGTTTTTACTTGTTTGATTCCAGAGTACTGAAGTATGTGCACGTTTTATAGACAGTCAAACGCAAACAGAAATGCTAGACATTAGTGAAACTGATTTTAGTCCTGTTACAAATACAACAACAGTATCAACAACAGAAAAGCTTTCTGTAAATAGCATTAATAAACAATCGTTAACTAAACAAGTACCAGAGTGCTTAAACGGAAACTCAATACTATCCGAAGCTCATTACAGAATACAATCTAGTCCCTGTTCCAGCCCTGAACCTACAAATGAAAATCATGTAAATGGAAATGAACGTTTAAAGGATTGTAGTGATGATGATAATTTAGAAACACTTGGCCGAAAAGTTAGTGAAATTATTAATGCTAATCGCCTTATTTCGCCTATAGATAATGGAAACTGTGACGACGTGATAATATCACATAGGTAGGTTAAATTTTAAGTATACTTGATTTTTTGTTATTATGTGTTAATTAATGGTAACAATTGTAAACAACAACTAATAAATAATTTCAGAGGTAAAGAAGAATCGGTGAAATTATCTGGTCACTTTTGTGGGATTATTATTAACGGTACTAATATGCAACAAGAACAGTCTGAAATTAGAACGCGGCCTTGTACTGAAAGTATGGATACGTTGCGTGATCGTGAAGATGATAATTGTGAAGAAAGTTGGTCAGACGAAGAAGGAGAAGATCCAAGTTACACTTATAATTACTCTCTTAGACGAAGAAGGTATATAGTTTATGAAGATGTACTTCCATAACATATTCTTTAATGTGAAAACAAGATAGTATACTATCTTAAACACAATAACAATACATAATACTTTGAATAATTACACATAGTGTGCACTAAATAAGTGTATAAAAATCAATTATTTTTAGACCATTGATGATTGTTCATTGATTTGTTTTCGAATGTTGAAAATTTAGAAGAAAACTATTAATGATGACGGGAATACCTTATATATATATAATTTAAATATGTTTTATAGTATTGCAAGAAGACCTATTGGTCCTGGATGTAGATTAAGAAGATTTAAACATGCCACAGTGCGAATAGAAGGAGTGTTAGCTTCTGACGAGGAAAATACTTCTGAATATTCACATCCTCCGTCCAGTCAGTCATCCACGTTAGAGAGTAATCCTGATGTGCAAAGAGTATTTCGTAATATTCATTATTCTCATAAGGTAAGTCGATAAAGTACCTTATTATTCTCAAGTGTCGAACATTTATAGCATATTGTATTCTTTATTCTTGTCATTTAGAGAAAAGAAATAGATGATGTTTCTGATACGTCGAGTCAATCGGAAACAGACGAAGTCAGTGAGATTACAATTGCATCTCAACCAGTAGGTGCAAACTTGAAAATAGAAAGCAGCGTTTAGATTAATGTAATTTTTATATCTCATTTATGAGTGATATATTATAAGACCCTAATAGCCAGTGCATTTCTGTAGTGTATGTTCTCATTCTATTCTATGTTAAATATTGTAGATATTTATCCATTACGATATTCACATTAGGTACATATGTACATTAATTTTACGAATTATTTATCAAGAAAATATGGTACCAATATTCTAAAAAGACCGTACATCAGGTGAAAATAAGT